ATGCCAGGGGGCCAGCCAGGGAAGTGTGCCAGCCCTGCCACTGTCACAGTCGCCTCGCAGCACAGACACTCCCCTGGCAGCCAGGACCCAATGCTGGGAACCTGCACATTCAGATCCAAAGCCGTTTGGGGAAAATAGTCTGCAAGAAGAAATTGTAGTGAGGACAGCAAATTATTTAGGGTCAAAAAGCAGGTCACAGGAGATTCTGGAGAGTAATGAGGATATTCTGTCTCCTGTGAAAGGGATGGACTTGGGCGATCTGGCTTTTGTTGGTTCCCTGCTCATTCTCAGATAGACCAGCAAACAATGTGCTTTACTGTATGTTCTGCTACTAGTTCTGGCCTAGGGTTCCCTGGCACTTGTAAAGTACTTGTATCTCTAAACCACACTAATGCTACTGGTGTTGTCAGAGGAAAATATTTTTTTTTCTGTGCAAGATCTATCATGCATTATTTATTGGCAGGGAAATCCGTCTTCTTGAATGATTTTCAGAGTGAAGTAGTACAAGCTCTGCCATTTATTATACTTAGATGACACAAAATCCATATGTTTTCAGTAGGGAACAGTGTTGATATAGGCAGATAGAGCATTGTTGGTTTTTTTTAATTTAAAAAATCCATAACCCTTCATTTTTATTTATTTTTTAATAACTCAGACCACTCAGCTTTTGAAACTCCCCTTTTTATTTCACAAATGTACCCTTTGAAACCTATTCTCAAAATGGATGCTACAAAAGTGATAGTAGAGTGGAAATTCTATGTAGCAAGTTTACCTTTAAATTGGAGCTTCTAGAAAGACTGTAGTTTGATTTAACTAGGTCTTTTCTCTCCTATTATTAATTAGGCACAGCTAAAAAGCTGCATATTTCACAAAGACTATAATTTATTTTTTTAATACCTGTGTATATTAAAAATGTGGTGTCTCAAACCTATCAGCCAAACAAGTCTGCCCAAAACCAAAGCTTGCTGCTAAAGGTCACCTTTGAGTAAGACAGTTCCTGTCTTAGAGATCTTATATTTGAAGTGAAAAATGCCCAGCCAAATCAGAGGAAGGAAAACTGAAGCAAAAATATAACGGGACCTGAATCTTTTACCTACTTGTCCAGCCTTCTGATGCAACAGCACATGGACAGGATTCTGCTATGTAAGGGAATCGTATCTTCCTTTCTGCAAATGAGGCAATTTTCAGTCTTGAGTTCAGGACCTCCTCATTACACAAAGGAGAACTTAAAATCTTTAATTTCCTGAAGCTTTTCAGTGAATGCTGGAGGGCACTATAATAGTTCCAGTTTCTTGGAACTGCTTTCTCATTGCACAGAAATCCTAGTCAAGCACTGTCTGTACACTATGTTATTGATAACAATTGTTAACAATATCTATAAGAATAACTTCATAATGGAGCAATAGCAATACAGAGTTCAGATGTGCCTGAAAGGAAATAGGGGAGAAATGACCAACTCCAAAGCTTGTTTGTGCACTTTGCATCCAAGTTCATTGTTGTGGCACCCTTAGAGCAGGGCATGTTGACAAGGGAAAAGGTCTGTGGAGGAAATGGATGGTCAGAATATGTCAAACGCCAACATAAATATATGAATGGAGTACAGAGGTTTAGACTGTGGTTCTTGTATTTTAGAAGCAGCTGGAGCCCTCTCTTTGAAAGCACTGATGGAGACTGCTTAATGTGACCACGAGCACTGCTACAGCAAGAGCTATGCAGTCATTCTCTAATTATATAGTTATTGGTGTGTTTTGGAGCAAACCAGACTGCTATAAATCATGTTTTGGGGAGTGATCCTTGTCAGGGAGATAAACATCTCTGTTTACATTAAGCTGAAGAGATGAGTGTTAGCATATTTTTGTGACTGCACTAAGGCTGAAATTCAGGCTTTGCCAAACTTAAGTGCTATAGAGAGGTGGAGCTTTAAGTGTCCACCGTGCTGCTGCCACAAAGCCTGGCACACTGACTAGGGGAAAGGAGGGGGGTGTTGTACCAGTATGATCTGGGCACTTCCTTCAGCTTGACAGAACAAGGTGCAATTCAGCACAACTCCCATTACCTTTGTGCAAGTGTCCTTGGACACTATCTGTGCTGAGTAAAAGCTGCAGGGGCCCAGGAAAATCAGCTGGTGCTGCTGGGAGGGGAAGAGGCATTTCTCTCTAAGAAACACCTGTGCTGTTACAAGTACTGTGAGTATTTGGTTGTGCTGTAGCTCCACGAGGCATCCAGATACCCATCACCTGGATTAGACAGTAGATGTAGATCTGTTCAGGTTTCTGCAACACTAAATACTCCTTTCTTGTAACAGTAAACCTTTTATGTTCTGATTAGGAGTGTTTCACTGTGCTGTGAATCCATAGCATCCCAAGTAATATGTGTGTTAAAGAATCCCCTCTAAAGAGTAGATACATAGTAGATGTTTAAAACCTCAGCAACCCAAAGACCCAATCTAAGGAAAACTATCCCGAATTAATAAGGTCAGTGCTTATTCTATTTCAAGGCAAATTGTTAAATTTATATCTTGGATCTAACATGTGAGGGCAACATGAATAAGGATACTGATTCTTGTTTCCAGTATGTACAAAATACTTTCAAAGGAATCAAATGGGGAAGCTGGGAGCTGTCAGTTGTTAGCCCAGTGATTCCTGCAATTTATATGGAACCAAGTTTAGCACAGCTGTCTTGAACTTACCATTTTAAAATTTATCTTAAAGCTTGTGCAAATAGCACTTGGTTTGAGTTATTTAGACACATTTCATTCTTGAGAATAAACTGGTTGCTGTCTCAGCTGGAGATAGGAAACCTGTCAAAAGTACTGTTTGTTTGTGTCATTATTCAGCTGGACACTGCCCAGGTTACATTGCAGAGAAGCAGGGTGTGTTTGTGTGTGGGGATACTTCCCTTCTGCAGAAGAGGCAAAACAGATGTTAAAAACCACAGCATATTATCAGTGTGTAATGTAAGGAGTGTGTCATGCTCATGCCTTGGTCACCAATTAAAATATAGTTTTAATGAACTCTCAACTTCTTGATGTAGTGCAGATGCAAACATATTGCTTCACAGTCTAAAATAAATTCAAAGCATTTAACAGTTGGTCTGATAGCTGAGGAAATCTGTGAATGTAAGAGATATATGCATACAAACTTTCTGAGAACTGGACTTGGATCAGAAAATTTGCTGTCTTCTGCCTCTCCACAGTTCAGTGTCACGTAACAGTGTGTATCCTGAAGAGGACCAAGTCCTGGGTCAGTGCTACAGACTAAACCCAGTCCTTTGGGGGGGATGCTACTGGGAGACTTAGGCACTGGTTAGGTCAGTGCTGAGAGAACTGACCTGTTTCCCCCGGGGTTGTATGACGGAAGCTGCATCTTGCTTGCAAGAGCAGGTTAAAAGGATTTAGTTCCTTCATGCCTTCAGTTACCAGCTTTGATGGGGAAATTCTTATACTGGCTCAGAAAGTGCCACACTAAAGCATGGTCTGTTATAGTATTAGTGGTAAAGATGAGGAGTGTCTTGTGACTTATGACAAAAACAAGATCTTTTAAAAGAAAATTTTAACAAGAACAAATTACAGGTTTTCTACAAATAAGAGCATTCAGAATTTTGCTACTCTTATCAGTTTGAGTTTGTTCAGTAATAACACACTTAAGTGGATGTCGTTGCTGGTCTGATGTGGAATCCTTGTACTGACCTAGGGACCATGTGTCCTCTTGGGTTACATGCTGCCACAAAATAACTTAGTCAACAGGCCATGCTTGCTGAGTTCTGAGCAATAAATCACTGCACTGAATTATAGTATGTGCAGCTTCAAGATAATGTTTTTGTGACCTTTTGCTTTCAATAGTACCATTTTGAGCATCACTGCCGCTAAAATTCCTATTTACTTATTTTTTCTTTAAGCTTTCCAAGGATACTTAAACAATCTCTGTGATGCTACTGATGGATGATTCACATTACATTAACTTTTCAGCTCTCATGGGTAGGAATCCATTGTAAGTGGATTTAGAGGAAAAAAAAGGATTTTTTGGGTTTGTAAAAGATGGCTTGTTGTTGTATTGGTTTTGTTCTTGATACTTAAATGCCCCAGCATGATCACTCTTCAGTGTTTTGTGCTGTAATTGTGAAAGTTTTCAAAAACAATTCTAAGAATTTTTTCTGGTAAAATCAAAAGTCGATATGCATCTATCTCTATATTGCTTTTCTATGCTGCAAAAGACTTAACTCTTATTTTAAGGAATGACTATTCTAATTATAGCCAAAACATTGCATGTTTGTGTTGAGTTCATAGAAAAGTCCTAGATTCAAAAGAGAGGAAATAAAAGTGGATGATAGTGGATCCATTAATGAGAGTGTTCCCTCGCTCTATAGTTCTAAATGAGAAACATGCTTTCATACATAACCTTGGGAGATATTAAGACAAAAGTGCATTTTGTTTCCCTGTCTGGAGCTGGAGAAAGCAAAACAATATCAGTAGTTATCTGGTAACTGTGACATGCATGCCTTTAGTTTTCCCAGGCTGGCGTCACTAGAGTTGGTCTGGAAAAAATCCAAAAAGGGAAGCTGAGTTTCATTCAGTAATCCATTGAAATAATGACCATATTATCTGGTTATTATGATGTAATTATTTTAAAAATACTTTGAAGGCCTCATTTTAGACTCTTGTCATTATGTAATTCAGATTTTTGAGCTGCAAAAGGCTCCCCTCGACTTACAAATGCACCTAGGTCTCATTCAGCTCAGTGACGCCAGCAGCTGGGACTGAAGCAGGCCTGGCAAGCCCTGGGTGCCGATGCTCTGGTTCCATGCACGTCGGAAAGCCTGCGTGCAATGTCCTCTCAGAGACAGAACCTCGCTGTGAGATCCAACACAGTGTTAGAGATCTTTGATAAAGGAAAACTCCAGTCAATTTCCACTACCAGGTGATGATTCCTTGAACACAGAAATTAAATAAAACTGAGAGAATAAATACAGAAAAAAAAAATTGAAAATTAAAAACTACTCCGTTCCATGTTCATGACATTTTTAATACTCATCTTGCTAATATGCAGAACAAGGACTATTGATTTTCCATTCATTAGCAGCCAACAAGATATGAATGAGTATTAACTTCAAACAGAAACTTGATTTATAACAACATCAAGTTGTGCACTTAAAAAAATAATTACAAATCATTTTAAAAAAGGAAGAGTAACAGTGGAAGCAGTAATGAATATAAAACATGACTGATTAGGCTTAAAACATAGCTTCAAGTATTCTATGGCATTTCCTCAGACATTTGTCTCATCTGTTTGTGCAATACCCATCTTTGCATAGTAAAGAAAAATTCGTTAAACTCCAGCCTTAAGTAATCTTTTTCTTTGAACATGCACCTATACAGCTGTAAATTTGCCTAGCAGACTTCTCTTTTAGGAGCATCAGATCAAATCATAAGATCATGCAGCAAACTGGAATGAGCTATACAGTTACCACAGTTTCTTGTCCAGCTGAGTAGGTAAATGATGGAGCAAATGTAGAGAGGATGAAATGGAGGCGGAGTCAACCCAGTCTTCTTTTGATGACACTTTGCAATGAACAAAGTAACACTAAATGGATATGCACTTCCCAAAGCACAGCAAAGGTGGGATGTAGAAAATCAACACCTACCAAACCCAATTTTTTTATCTACTGCCATGGGAAGCACTTCATCCAGAACCTACTCTGAGCTGTGTTGTCACTTGTGTTGTGCACACACAGGGCAAAAAGCGAATGTGTTCTTCCACGTACACACAATGGCTGATGAGTGAAGCATAAATTCAGTCAAGAAATTGTAAGTCCTATGAAAGGGCTGGTGTAAATAAAAAAGTTACTCCAGCACTGAACATATGTTCATAGTAGTTGGGGACCACTGTGGTCTGATTTAAAACATCACATCACACACTAACAATGTTGTTTGTGAAATGCTTCTTCAAGGTTTATTACACAGGTAGTTTATGTATGTCCAGTTGATTTTACTTATTTTTATTTTTGGTAACCACTAGTGTTTCTGTTGTGGGTTATGCTTGCTTTGGAAGCAGAACCCCAACAAAGTTGGATGTTTTGAAGCAAAGCATTTTTAGATAACCATAATACAGTTGCAAGTATTTTTGGTTTGCCATCAAAGGATTGTCACTAATGTAATTTTGCTTGAAACCAGGCAGGAATTTTTCAGAATAAGATTTATAATTCACAGAAATGTCAACTACCTGTGTGCAGCACCTTTAACTCATAATGTAGTTGTGTTAATGTGATTATGTTAAAGCTGATTAAAAATATTTAATAATAACTGTCAAGCAAAACAATATATTGTAGCTCTTTTGTGAGACTGTTGAATTGAACATTATCATAATAAGAAAAATAACTGAAATTATGTTTTCTAAGTCACAGGAAATCTGCAGCATTTTCTTAATGTTTTGGCTCTTAAAGCTAACTTGGGTAATGGATTTCACTGAACAAAGATGGAGTATGTAATGTAACTGGGCTTCTCTTGTTACTAATATTCAACCTTTACATTAAAGCCAAAATTACAAAAGTTTTTAATTCTGATTATCAGACACAGCAATTAAATTTTCAGGTCACTTCACTTACACAAACTAAATTACCTGTTTTAAGCCAAGATGCAAAGGATGAGCCAGACTGGACAGCTCTATACTTTTAGGGAGGCCTAGACATCTGCCCATATCTTTCTCAAGGCAGATGCAGCCAGGCTAGCCTTGTTCCTGGGGCACGGTACTGCTGCCCAGGACTTCTCTGCAAAAATCTGCTTGTACGCAAGGTGTATCTAAAAGTAATAACAACACACAACCCCCTGAAATTACATGGCATTCTGTACACGTTGTGATGGTAACTGGCTGTCAGTAGCCAAGGGTCAAAGTATTAATCTTGCATTAAACTTTGAAAAGTGAAATGCATCAAAGAGATACAGGGAGTGAGTTAGAAATGTCAGGTCACCTTTGCAAGTTGCTTTGAGTGGATGGGCAGAAGGCAAGAGAAGAATAACTCATTCCAAGCTTTTAACATTTTGTGAGTATTTTAAGGCTTATTTAAGTTTTTATTTTACAGGAAAAAAGCTAGCTACACTTAAAAAAAAAAAAAAGAGCTTGGCACTTCTGTGATTATCTTGAGAGGGTGTTACTTATCCTATATTATGGAAAAGTCTGCATAAGAGCCAAAAAAAGTAATCCAGACTTATAGTCAATACATAGATATGCATTTATACATTTTAATTGTTTTTGGTTTCAAGCATACAAACTTTAGATCACATCTGTTTGGTGTCAGAACTCCCTGCATCTGCATGCTATTACTGCCTTTTTTTGAGCAAGCCCAGAACATCCGCTGTACAACATGCTACAGAAAAAAAGGGGAGGAAAAAAACCCAAAACCAAACCCAACATCAAAAATAGATTTACATAAAGAATAGAACCTTTTTATATGGAAATTCTTTTCTCATTTTTATATATATATTTATATATAATCTGTGAAAATGATACATCAAAATCTTATTTCCATATTTACACTTTTTCTTTCTTGGAAAAATTCCATCCATCATTCACTAGCTTCCATAACTAACAGACTCCTGACCTAGGAGACCAAAACAAGGTGGACAGCGAGCTCACGGAGCAGGGAACCCTCAAGTCCAGCAGCAGAATGCACTGCGTGGCTGGAAAAGCTATCGAAGCCTGGCACTGGCTTCCCAGTGATTTATATTTATTGGGCTGCAGATTTTGCTTGGGGTCAGCTTGCTAACTTGGTTGTTTGTATGTGAGCCATGCAGGTTACCCTTTCAAAATTAGCTCCTCATGCCACTGGAGTTTGATAAGAAAAAGGAAGTCATGCGAACTCAAGTGAAGTTAAGAGTGCCAGCAGGCTGGGAAAAGAATCTTCTGCTATTCCATTATTTTGGAGCAGTTCTCTTATTGCACTTGGTCTGTGTGTCTCCTTTGTTTGAGGAAAAAAAAACACCTGATTTTGAAACAGTTTGCTTGTAACACTTGTCAGTTAATGTTAACAAGAGAAAGGTGAATAGAGGAAGTATTTCCAACTTATCTCCAAAAAGGACAGTGTTCTACCAACTCAAATTCCAATATCCCAATATTGTGTTTAGTTACTGTTTCTCAAGTTCTTCCTTACAGATTTAGTTCCTGTGCAGCTACAGTGAAGACATCATACCCAAAATCCAGTAGTGCAAGAAACAGCTTTTTGAATGGCATCTCTTCAGATAGGGCCTTGTTGACTTGGATCGAACCTTCGTTTTTTGACATTTCTTCCAGATTGCATCAAAAGGAGATGAGAACAGAAAAATGCAAGACATTAGTTAGATATAACAAGAACAAAGTCGTTGCTAAGGTCATAGTAAAGTAAAAGGCTCACACTGAGACAGTTTAACCAGTAACTTTTCCAAGGGCTAACTATTTAAGGAATTTAGTTGCATGCTTTCTGTAGCATAATATCAAGTACTGGTTTCCTTATGCAGTTTAAAGATCCTACTGGCATACAGAATACAGTTATTTCCGTAGTACTTCAAGTGGTGCTCTGAATTTGTAGAAACTTTCAGCTCCCAGTAGCACATGTTTCCCCAAGCCAGGAATGCATTTGTACAGCTGAAAAGAATGAGTCATAAGTGCCAGGACTGGAAATACGTCAGCCCATGGAGACTTGAGTTCTCAGAGCAAGTGCCCATCTCTGGCTACACCAGAGTTTAGTTTATGTAATCCAGTGTGACAAAAAAGTGAGTGCCTCTGTGAGCTCTTACCACACTATTGACCAAAAGTGAATCTTAGTAAGGTGCAAAATATAGCAGAGACATTGCATTCGAAGGAGACTGGACAGTTTTGTTAATTGTGTTATTAGAATTGAATGTTAACAGCAAACAGCAAGCTGGTGATATCCAATCTCCTGCGATGTTGATGTCCTATGTCAAACAGCAAGACATAAGGAAGCAACAACAAAAGTTGGGTGCAACCTCCCCAGTATCTGGCTTTATGTGGGGCATCAAGCAAGGGGCTCATGCATTTAGTTTTAACATTGGGCATACACACCGCTACCGCCACCAACCCAACATGCAAAAAATACAGAACAGGAATTCATAAATTCCCTGAAGATACAGACCAACCCCTATTTTCTGCAGCCCTGCTAACTACTACCACTCCTACAGTATTTATAAATATTCTATACACAAGGTTTGTCTGGTGGTTTTAGAGACTAATGGATATCTGCAAAGACAACTTATTTTTGAAAAGTCTTCCAGAGGCTAGTGGTTCTTGGCAATCCTTTGTTTTGTTTCTTATTCTTTGGACAACTGTGCCTAGATTTTTGTAAGATGCTTGTTTAAATAACTGGGGGTTTCTGAAAGAAGATCACTGTATTCATCTTCCAGTCATTTCCCCTCCAGGAGTACTGTACTAATGCTCTCTTTTAATGAGGCTGATGTTACTTCAATATCTCAATCCCTCCCCCTGTGTACTACAGGTAAATTTGAGATGACCAAACTTTTTTTTTTTCAGCCCAACTTGCAGAACTGCATGATAGGAAGTATGAATATAATAGAACTTGGTTGAATGTGAGTTAAAGACTGCTGTGTGTCTGCTCATCCTGCCAGTTTCAATGGGAAAAAAAATGTGTCTGCTTCTCTTCCCCCTCCCCCCTTTTTAAAAGCTGTCTAGCATACTTGAATTCAAGCACTACCCATCAACAACTAACTAGTCAGTCCTTTTAAATCAACAACATATGTGAAAAATCCAGATGATGTAACTTGTCCTCCTACTCTATGGAAAGTATCATATTCCAGTTCGCTTGAAGAGGATGTCATTAGAATAGATGCTGAATTATGTTCTGTTACCTGAGTTTATTTTAGTTGAAGAAATGGACTTTATAAGTCTTAGAACAAGGTGCAGAAGACAGATGCTATGCTAGTTTCCCAGTACAACTCTGTAACAAAACTCTTTGTCTTTTATCCTATCAATTCTTTTCTAATCTCACATTTCCACAAGTGCAGTATTCCAGCACAAACCTCGCCATGCATTCTGTGTCCAAACCATATATTTACTCCATTCCTAGTTTTATTCTGCAGAAATACAGAGTTTGAGGAATAAGATACTGACCAAAACCACTGCCTTTCTTCACTTAGGTTATTCTGCTAACAATGTTATATGAGAAAGAAACATGTGAAGAACTAGAATAAGAGCCTGAAATATGGAACATGAGATACAGTGTCAATAAGGGAACGTAGTACAAAGCTTTAACAAGACCCTGCCACATCTCTGTACTGCAATTGTAGCACTTCAGGGGTAGGCAGTCAGGTGTTACCTTGCAGGAATCCAAATTCTATTCTGATTCCCTGACCTGCTTTAACAACTTTATCCCGAATTATCAACCATTATAATACTAAAAGGAATTCAGTAGTCTTATTTACTTAAATTGCCAGATAGAACAAGTTTCTCTCTTTCTCAAGAAAATTACAATAAAAGGAAACTTGGTAAGTACCAGGTCCTGGATATTTGCACCTCTTTATAGCTACATGTTATAGTACTGCAATGTTCCTTCCAGTATGCTTCAGTTAAAAGATATGGTGGGGCAGAAGAGTCCTCTGTAGGAGGACACATAGGAGAATGATGCTGCTTCCTAGTTCTTTGATGGTTTATGTGGAAGATCTTAGAATATAAACTTATTTTTTGCATTAAAGTTTTAATGCCTCTTTAAATAATGAGGGTCAGCCTTTCAGTCTGTAATCCAACCAGGAAAAGAGTCTCTAACACAAAGAAAATTATAGGTGATTCTGAATCAAAAGTACACCATGGTACAGCACATCACTGCCTTTCTAACATGGTCATCTTTACAAACAAAAAACATTTCAGAAAAAAAAACTGGTTTCAAAAAAGGCTGAATATATCTAAGAAATACCTTGCTGCAATCTGATGTGGGTTTTTTGTGCAGCTAACTGGGAATGTGGTCACAAAGTACATTACTTGCAAATGTATGCCTTTGTGATCACATAAATACAAAGCTTTATTTAAGCATTTAAAGATTTATCCAAACCCAGTATTTTAACCAGGTTAACTAGCTAATGTTCTCATAGGCATTCCTAAATCATTGTTCAAATGTTGAAGAGCTTAAATAAATGAACTTATGCTACAAAATTGATTCAAATTAACAGAATGAGGGACTAAAATTAGCAACTTAAAATAAGACATTGACCTTCCATTTATTCTAGTAGATTGGAAAAAAAGTGAGAAAATACCTCACATTTGATTCTGATGCTGACATCTGTGTAGTGATGACTATGGCCTATGATTCATATTGATGGTAATGCTGGTAAGGGACCAAAACCTCTTTCCTCACAATGTTGCCACCAGCATTTCACTGCCTTATCTTGTGGAAACCTTTAGGGTTTAAATGCAACTGCACAGACCAGTTAAACCTTGGCATCTGTTATATCTGGATAAGTCTTTGGTTCCTCCATTAATCTTCCATTAAAGGAGCAGAAAACCCTTTGGCTCTTCAGCTAAGAACAATTGCTGAAAATAGAATTGTGCCTTCAATCAATTCTCTATCTGCTGCTTTTGTATTCTGCTATAACAAGAGGCAGCTTTTCATGTGCACTGCCATGTTGCTTTTACTAGCATTGCCTGTTGGTGGTGGTATTGTTTTGTTACCAGAATTGCTTTAATACTGTTAATGTCAGTAACAAAAGCATTAATTAGCTTATATTATTGCAGTAGCTCAGCAGAAGTCAGCAAATATATGCTAGAAATAAAAAGTGTAGGCCCCTGAGCGACTCTAATGGTAAAAGTGTCCTTCCTATATTAAACACTGTATACTGAAACCTTGCACAGACTTGCTACACCAAAATTAACTTCACATTTCATGAATGCTGTACTTCTGTACATTACCTGGCAGAGTTCAGGTAGCAACAGGTAGGACTCCCTTACTGCTGTCTAAACACCAACAGTTTTAAAAGTACTATGCAAGGCTCATCTGAAGTAAAATCTACTTAACAAGGTTTCCACACACAGCTGTTAACTCTAAGCCACCTGAAATGTGTAATGAGGCTCTATGCTCCTTAGAAATGTCATTAACCTTTTTTTTTCCTATTCTGTCCACACATTAACTTGATGACAAAAACGAACCTCAGATTCACTCTTGAAACTGGATTTGTTTTTACTTTGTTGATTTGTTTTTACTTTGTTTCTCCAAACTTGCATCCAGCCTTCTTTTACACTTCCCCTCCAACCCCCACCCCCTCTCAGTTCATGAACAAAGTTTTGCTTAGTTGCAGCTTACGTTTGATATGGACTTGACACCACAGTACCGTATGTTCATATGAACATCTGATAACCTGTGAAACAGAAATCACATCTCCCAGTTTGTAAAGCATTAGCTACCTTCTCTCATATTTGCAGAGACTAAACATATCACTTGCTTAAAAAGGAAAAGTTAAAATCCCTCTTTATTACCCTCATCTGTCCCTCCAGATCTATCTGAAGCCAAGTATCAGGGGGTCTACATATGCTAGCCCTCTTCTGTGTATAAACCAAAAAGCCTTTCCAATTCCCCTCTGACCCCCAGAAGAAACATGCACTTCAAGCTGTGAGCTAGGCCAGGCCAGTGTATTTGAGGTTCTGCTACAGAATAAACAGTTGTATCTTGCTCTTGTGAGAGTAAGAGCTTCAGGACACATTTCCAATACAGATCATCTATAGGGACAGCAAGCTTCTTCATTTGGGCAAACGAATGACACCAGGATGCAAAGCTGAACACTTGTGAGAGCAGACTGAGAGGTGTGGAACACAAAGAAGAAATAATCAATGACATACTGTATTGTTTCAGACATGGAGGGATTCTTTGGCTGATCTGTGTTCATCCAAGTTGGAGCTGTGTCTGCAGCCAGCCTGCTCGCAGCTGTGGGCAGGGGCTGCAGCTCTGATGCATGAGAGCAAAGGTGGTCAGGACACAAGATGGCTTGGGAAGATTCAGAGGAAGACACTGACTACATTTATTTTCTATTTTAATGACATGTATTATGTTTTCAGCATAATACAAACTATCTTGTGCAATACAAATGTAGTATTTGTTTCTGCAAAGTCTATGAGTTTGCAAAGTTTCTGCAAAGTCTATGAGTTGCTCAGTAATAGACATATGTCTCTTACAGCAGAAAACTCATCCAAAAATATAAGCTGACATTTATTTTTTCCAATAAAATTTAGCTTGGTTAATTCCCAGAGGAACTCGCAATATCCGTGTTTCTAATATTACTGCTTTAAATGTACATGCATTGTTGTTCTCAATATACCAAAAATTTTAATAGAAATGTTAATGCAAGCCTTGCAGAAAATGTGGCTGTATTTATTTAAAAATCTAATTGCAGTGAAGTGCAGGGGAAAAAACCCTCTGTTCTGCAACTTACTGAAATTTTTATATATTGTTTATATGCTCTATTTACATTAAAAGACAACTAAATTATTTTACTGTTTATAAATATGGAAAATCGCAGCCATATGAGATACAGTGCAAAAGATATAGGACTACCTTGTTTAGAGCTGCCCTGTAGTAACTTCTAAATACTGGAGGCTGACCTAGTGGTATTTATTGTACAAATAAGTGGATTGGATTTATTTAACTAAGAAGACGTACGAGAAAACAAAACCAAACCTCAACCACAACAACAAACCCAGCAGCTGAAGGTAGGTCTGTAGTCAGGAACTAAAAAAGCTTTTGAAGATCATACACCCATGCTTACAGATGGATGTTTTGGTGCATTTTGTATTTACTCTTTTCTTACTAAAACAAAGGAGAAGCAGTGAATCCCAGGGCTGCCACGTGCAGCACTGCAGCTCTTGCCAGTGTCAACTGGAAGCACAGGGAATGTTACTTCCCTCAGAGCAAGCACTTGGAGAAAAATGAATGAGGCAGGTGGTGGGTCTTTCTGAGAACACCTACAGTGGCAGGCAGTGCAACAGGGAGTAATTGCCTTGTCCAGGAGACAGGACAAAGCCTGTTTGCTGTTTTCAGCAGGGCTGACTCAGATTTTGAAGTATTTTGCTTCCACATGCATGCTTAATTAAGGCCAGCTGAACCTTTGAAAATATAAGAGTTTAAATTACAAGTAAACACTTTCAGGTGACTTTTGAAAGTGAATTACCAGATAAATATGACCTGATCACTAGATTTCTACTTTGATAGTGGCCTTAATCAATTAGGGAGTAATTTTTTTCTTCTCAACTCAGACACAAAATATGAATAGAGACCATAGAAAATTTTTTTTTAATTATTATAAATATCTCCTTGGAGATTTATGGTTTATTGTTTGATCATGGCTTAATTTCGATTCACGTTATTGAATAGAAATAGCAACTTGAAATGCCATGAGAAATTACTTGTGCTTAATACTTCCATGATTTGTAAGGTTATAAAGTGAGATCCTTTTTACCAAATATGGACCATGCATGGAGGTAGACTGGACCCTACAAAAAAGGCAAGAATTAAATACCTTTGTACAAGACTCTCTTTTTGCTTTAACAGTCACAAGCAGAATGACTAGTATGTTACTCCTCATAGTTATAAAACACACTGGACTAGAATTGGGAGAGAAATGCTTTCATCTTTCTGGAAACAGCTCAAGATTTCAAAATGTTCTCTCTACACTTGATTTTTTTTTTTTTTAAAGTGTACTGAGAATAAAAAAATAATCAATAACCACTAAAAAGTTAGCTCTGGTACATTGAGTCAACACATTTGTTGCTTAAAACTACTCTGCTACTGCCACTATTGACCATTTACATGACATCTTTAATTATGAAAAAGTTGAGCTGTTTGAAAGTACTACTGCATTCAAAAGAAACACTCCTCAAGACGTATCTTTTGGGGGTTTTTAACCACTGCAGTCAGCTTCTGAGAACAACACTACTAACTGGAGGTGAAAAAAAGACCTTGCTTCTTAAATCTTAGCTGAGTTAATGAAAATTAAATTAATTATTTTACTGTTGTTCAACTTTGCACCCTGATAACATCTACAATTTTCAAATCCATTTCCTCCTCTTGTTCAGTGTGTGTGTAATTTTTTTTCTTGTTTAAAGCAGTTTGTTAGAGTTTGGGGGGCAGGCTTAACTTGGAAATCTTGTAGCAGGAACTCAAAATTTAGTGATGTAAGCCAGAAATAGAAATGCCATAGCCACCAAAGAGAAGACATGCGGCATTGCTTACTTAAAGCCCCATCCTGTCCCCCCAAGGACAATTGCTGCTACCAGGATGGCACCAGCGATGGAGCCTATTATAAGATTGGTGGCACTAGGACCTGTGATAAAGGATTATGGTAAGACACACATAAGAACCAACGACTTTATTCACGTCATGTGAAGCATCTGAAGGGTAGTCAAACAATTCAAGGAATACAGACAGCACACAAGGTGATGCCTCTAGACAATCTCAACAAGGCCAACTTAACTTTTCTTTAACAATAGGAATGAACAAAGCTGTTGGTCTCTGCATTGTGCTATGCTGACTTCTACTAAAGATAAAAATCTAGTATTAGACAGTGAATTCCATTGTAACTTACTCCGTTATCTGGTGAATGAACAGTCAGCTGAGGACACTAAGATATTTGTGAATAATCCCTTTGCTTAAAGGAAGAAGTATGAATGCTGTATGTTTTAAGACTGCAGCAAATTAGAAAGGAAAAAAAAATCAAAAACCCCTGTCTTTTTTCATGGAGCTTCTGAAAGATGTAGATTTTTTAATTTGAGCTGAGAGCATTCAGCACCACTTGCTAATCATAATCCAGACTCCCTACAGTTACATCAATGCTAAATTTACAAACAATTGTTTGACAAAAGCAAAGGATTATATAATAGGGAACAAACATTTAAATAAAAGCTGTATTCCTCCTAAGCTTTCCAAACATCAAAGCATCTCTTCATCATCCTCAAGAAGGTACTAAACAACAAAGTGGAGAAGGGCGGAGCAGGAAAAAAGAGCAACAAAAAGAAGCTGCACAAAATATGTTTGTGCAATTTTCTGAAGAGGGCAAGAGAACACCTAAATAAGATATTAATAATTGACCCTTAAGTGCTCTGCTTACATAGGGCAGAGAAAAACTGATAATAAGCTTGAGTAACATTTTAATTGCTCTGTACCAAAACCTCCTATCACGCAGTTTTTGATGTAAAGCTAATTGCATCTGAACTCAAGGCAGAAGGAAACCAACTCAACAGTTCTTCTGCAGCATATTGTACACTTTTTGTTTAAACATTTACGTTTTCAGGAACGGCCTTCAGAAACAGTTCTTACCTCCTATCTCAGTCTCCCCAAATGAACACTTCTACACAGCAATGGAAATTTTCCTAATTAATTATTCTGAAACTGAGTTTGGAAAACTGTCAGACAGCTAACATAAAGAAGAAAGAGGAGTAGCCAGAGATCAGCAAAGAAAGAGCAAGGGCAGCTGCAACAACTGAAAGTTTTAAGCTGTTAGGTCGGTATCACAAAACCTCCTGCCCAGTCCCACACACTACAATAAGCACATGTCGTAAGTTTTAAAATTTACTGCAGCAACCTAACTTCATTGCAGCCACTACATGTTTCCCACATCAGTGCTTCTGGAGATCTGATTAGCTAAAAGAAACCAAGTTTTAAAAATTGCTTCCTGCAGTTCCTATACAAACAATATTCAGGAACGTGAACAAAATACTTGGACTGAAATGAAATATAGTGAGCTTTACAGATGAGCAGTGCACAAATTTGACGAAGAAAATCAAATGGTAATTTTTCACAATTTGGAAGAATGCATCTTATTTGGACTTACCTTTAAAGTCACACCTGACTCAAATCAACAGGAGTGAGCATGGTGGAGGGTAAATGCCATTCCACAGGCATTATAGTCCCAACTAAGGATTGCTTGCAACAGCAGTCTAATGAGCCTAATGAGCTACTGTGTCTAACTGAGATCTAGGGTTTACTCTGGATTTTATCAAATGATTTCACACAACAAAAGACTGAAAACACAGCAAGTACTTTATCTGTAATAGATTTTATAAGCCTTGAAAAATTCTAAAGCTGATTTCTTTCTAGCCATGGAATGCTATCTTCCCACAAAGAGGTATAAAGATTAACTGATAGTAACATAGTCATAACTTAACTTAGATAAAGAAGTGCCAAATCACCACTTTTTACATCCCACCTCCTCACTATGTTTCCTGGTTGTTAAATGTCAAGGGGTGTGGAGGGAGAGGGTGTGTATCCATTTCATAGTGCACATCCATTCACCAAACAGCAGTTTGTTCTTTCAATACAGAAAATCAATATCGGTTTTGTTTACTATAAATATGGAAGAATTCAATCAAAATTTAAACAGAAGAGGATAATATACAAACCAATTAGGTTCAGTTAATGGAAAAGTATAAATATAAAACCCAAGCTGGCAGAATAGGTATGATGACTAAAACAGCAACCACTTGTTTCTGAGAACAGAGTCCTCTCAACTGCTGAATTCCAGTTTCAAAACACAGAGATTTAAGAGAATTACTGGCAAGTTGTTTTAAGACCACAATAGACTGGGCACATAAAAGTACTTACAATGGGACTACTTTTACATGTTATACCTTACCTTAAAGTTCTATGTCTTCTGTTTTACTAAGCATTATCAAAAAATTGTATTATTACTAAATTAGAATTTTTCTACCAGTAAAGTGACATTTATGAAGAAAAGTATAAATCCATATGATTCTGCTCAATAAGCCTCTCTAGTCACTGAACTCAGATGCTTGACAGGAAACCAGAAGTATGAGGAAGGTTTTAATAACCACCATACTGTGGGGTCATTTTTCATCCAGACTATCACAAGATGCAATGCTTGGGTACATTTGTTCTTTCCACCATACTACTGCTATAACCTACAGACACAGATTTTTCAGGAGGAAACTCCTGCACAACACCTGGCACACCACCTTTTCCTGCAAAGCACTACCTGCTCTGGCATGGCTATTTGTACCATCCCAGGTCATCTTTTAGGACCCCAATACAAATCCTACCGAAGGTGTTAAAAACAGAATACACCTATAATTTTGGTAGACTTCAGACTATTCCCTAAGTCTTCATCATCATCAGGTAGATTCTACGAGAATTAATATACACTGCTTTGAAACTCTGCTAGTATTAGAAGTTAAAGCTATTTCAGCACTTCAAACAAAGGTTTACGATTTGCAAGTGAAGTGTTGAGGAAGGAGGAAGAAGGGCAGAACCTGGCACCAGGTTGTGCTTGATGAACACACCCTCCCCTGCAGCCAGTGATGGTAACAGCCACCAGAGACTGAAGGGTATTAGGAAAAGAGAGGGAATTTGGATTCCCCATGTGCTTTCTGTAAACCAAACAAAAAGTAGCAGTGGCTTGCCTTGAATGTACATTTGTACCTGAAGGAACCAGAGACCAGAGAAAGATTGATGGGATGCAGGAAAGAAGAATGGATAGAAACACAGAGTCAGGTAGTGAGTGATAAGAGCAGAGGAAAGATGAAGAAAAGCTGGACTTAGTGTAGAACCATACAGGAGCAAGAACAAATGGTCAGGGACGTTGGTCAGAGCTGAGTGGCTTCAGACAGCAGGTAAGGGGAGAGAAAAACAGAAGGGTACAAGGCAGAATGTAAGCAAAAGGCAAGTGGTCCTCAACCTGTAGGTAAATTTTCTCCTTCCAAATCTGTGTCCCAAACCTCTACAACCTTAACAGTTGTCAGTTTTTAGCAAAAAGCTGTAAAAGCCACCAGTAAAACAGAGATCTAATCTTTCTCACGCAAATAATCTATTACCTTCTTCCTTCTGTTTGTTCTCTATTAGTTGTCCTCTCTGAACACAAAGGTCTCTACTCTTCTGAGAATCTGAGAGCAGTTTCATGTACCAGACAGGTTCTTAGGGCTGTGAACTCAGACACACAAAATGCTGCTTTGCCAGACTAGAATTGTACATGGGTGCCTTTTCACACAGCCTGATTAGAAATCACAGACTGTCCTGTCACAAGTCCCCCTTCAGAGAGGTGCCACTGCCACATGACAGATGTAACATATAGTACCAGAAACCTGGTGAAGTTGGAATTCTCAGAGGAGCAAAATAATAGTACTTTAAGCTGTAGTTTGTACAGTGAACACAGAATGAAGGGAGCTCTTACAGGAGCCTTTTTATGCATGTGTGTGTATATATATATAAACAAAATTTGTATGAATCATAGCCATTGTTAAAATGGAGGTAGGGGGATAATACTTAAGGTTACAGTTTCCTAAAACTATGAAAAGACAACAAAAATTGCTCATATATATTCTATATGTGTGAATATTATACTTCAGCACTGTGCTATCTTTGGGTAACAGAATCCTAGCAACAGAACTTTCAGAAGCTTTACTGTAAAACTAGCTGTCTGTATGACTATCATCAGCTTTCATCTGCCTAGCTTATCATTAGACTGAAAGCCCCACAGACTGTAATAAACAATTTCTGCATTTTATGAAATAGTCCACATTACGCAGTCTGTTTTGTGAAATAATCACGAAATTCCATTTTTTCTCTGTTATTTTTGTAATTTGGTGTAATGGAAACATTTAGACACTTAATTTTATGGTGACAATGTAAAAAATCCACAAACTTATTGTTTTATGCCCCACATTATCCCAGACAGGAGAAGGTTCAACACTGCATGAGCAAACCACATGACACGGACACAGTCAAATCACAGGACAAATACGGTCACCACATGACAAAGCTAACGGGTCATACACAGAGGGCTCAGGTGCATACGGTTACCTCACACACTAGGCACCAAACATAAAACTCAAACTAGGAAAAATGCTTACTCTATTCCCCACCCTGTGCCTCCAAAAATCACCCCCAAGGCCAGAATGGTCCCTGCCACTGCACCTATTAGCCTGTTAGCAGCCATGCTCACTGTGTGGAGGGAAAAGGGAAGATTTTTTAAGGAAATTATCACATATATGTCTGAAATGAAAACATGAAACAATTCCTCAAAGGAATACTTTATGCTATAATCCACTGTTTGGATAAACAATTAAAATCTCCTCACAAATCTTTATTTACCAAATACCGCAGCTTTGAAAATTCTGAAGTGACATATATTTGGTTTTCTTTGAATGTTTGCAAATATTTCAATGAGAAGTTTTCCTGTAAATGAAAGACTATTCCTTTTACCGTTGTGATTCTATTATTTATTTAAAAGAGGAACATCCTCAACCTACTGCTTATTTATAACAGCCAAAATGTAAATAAATTACCAATAAGAAAACTTCCTTTTGATCACCAGAAACTTACTGTATCCACAATATAACTAAGCAAATGAAAACTGTTCAGAAACAGTTCCACTGCAGGGAAAAAATCCCAAACACAACTTTGAAATTCATTCCTTTACTAGATAGTAATATTTTCCTTTGTTACTGCATTTATTAATAGGACTCGCTATTTATCTCTATGACCTAAAGACAGACAACACCTTTTAAAAGCAAAAACCTACCTTAGAAACATGCTTCAGGTAACGCTCTGGAAATTCTGATATGTTCAGATAGTCTCTCTTAAGACATTAAGGCCTTGTTTTTATTTTTTAAGGATACTTGTTTGAGAAAAAACATCTGTACATTTCCTATGTTAGAGATTAAAAGTTTGATAGATTCATTGACTCACAATAGACCACAAGCAAGCAGCTGAATTCCCTAACAAATGGGAACTCTTCCAAGGGACAAAAACTTTATAGACTTCATGCTGAATGAAGTCCGTTTTGAAATGCTTTGGGTAGTTTTCTTCCAAAATTTTCTTCCAAAAGTTTCATAAATATACACACACAAACACACACACACACACACACTTGAGACATAAGTTTTATACTAAAATAAACACTACTCCACTAGTCAAATAAAGGACTAATTCTGCAAATTAAATGGTAAAGGAAGAATCTCGTGTGCCAGTACTCTAAAGTAATTCAAAGTTTCTGCAGTAACCAAAAACTAACAGCAAGAACTCTTTGTCTTCCCCAAACTGCTAAATGCTGGGTACATCTTCTAGTACAGGATACAGTAGGTTGCTGAGTTTAGAATAATTCAAGGGTCATGTATTAACAGCAACATAATAATAAGGACCATTAATTTTTTTAATCCTGAAATAGAAAATGGAGCCAAAAAGCAATTGATGGATGATGGAAAAATCTGAAAAGTGCAGCAGGAGTAGCAGCCAATTGTCAGTTATCATAATAATATATAAATAATTAGCAATACTTCCTAACTATACATGTTCTAATTGTAGTAAGAAAAATGCTTGGATTTACGGTGTGAAAAATCTTAAACCTATTAGGCTTTAATTTTCACATCATGAGTATTTCATTTCTGAAATGTAACAAAATTCAATCTTATGGCTAAGGAAAAACTAGTATTTTGGTTTCTGTCTCAGATTTGTAAACTGGCATATGACAAAGGGAGTAATAAGGGGAAAAAAGTTAATGGAAAATACTTGAGTATGTTGGATCTTTACAACAGAGAAAAGTACTCCTGAATTCTTCTGAAATCTTCTCACAAAGGAGTTCCTCTATAAACATGCAGAAAGAAATCACAGTAGGTCTGTGTTGAGGGTCCTAAATTCATTTCTAGGGGATTCAACATCAATAAATTACTGTAACAATATAAGAAATATAATCCATCTTTTGAGATCATTGAGCCACCTTGTGCAAAAGCATAGTCTGCCTTTTTGCAGAAGAATCCATTAAAAAATGCAGTCTAAATGTTGTCTGTACCTACTGGCAGAAATCCATGTACATACTATTCATTTAAGGCTTTTGCCCAAAATACTTCAGCATTGATGTATTAATTTTCACACAGGCATTTCCATTCTGAACTTGAGGAGTTAATCTGGCTTACAATAATGTAACCAAGGTAAGCATACCTCCTGTGTTGCCCTTCCTACAGATCTTTTTAAAGAGAAGGGAATTAATTCTTACCTACAGGATTTGGAAACGAGCAAAATAAAATTCATGTACTCTCTCAGTGTCACAGCTGTAAATACTGCTCTCCTCATCCACACACACAGAGACCTGAACAGCTCTGTAGTGCTAGTCTCCATAATTTTTTTAAGACTCTGTAAGCAGCATTCTACAGTCAGGAAGGTTTTCAGGGGAAATGGAATGACAAGTAGCTGTGTAAGGCAGGGTGCAAAACAGGCAGCTACACTGAACAGTGGTGGGATTAGAAATCCAGGAAGCACCTGTACAGATTCCCTCATACAAATCTGGACTGTTCAAGAGAGCCTCCTTCACAACAGCAATTTGTTTTAAGACTATATCTTCAACAGTTCTTGGTAAAGGTCTACTGGAACCATTCTGCTAAAGGGCAACAGGAAAAGGCACACAGGGCAGATGTAGAGCCTTTCTGGAGGGACATACCAAAATCCTGCCCTTCCTTGAAACCTTAGATATTTTAGAGAGTAATCAATTAGAGTGTGATCCCTAAGGGCTAAATTTTTAAGCAACTCTGCCTTGTAGAAAGGGCAGAAGAACCTGGAACTGGGACATAGGGAAAAATTTTGTTTGTGTTTCTCAGTTGTTTATTGGGAACTTTATCCGTAAATGCATAAGATTTGATGAATATAGTCTGATGTTGGACAATACCCTGATGACAAGATACAAAAACTGGACAGCACAATCCAAAGATATTATTTGGCAGAGAAGTCAGAGAGAATCTCAAGTGCTTTTCTTCCTCTTTGAAAAACTTTTTTGATGAATTATTTCCTCAATACCTCCTCTTTGTATTTATACTTCATATGCAGTTGAAATACCAACTAAGTACGTAAGAATAAGCAATAATGATTGTAAAAATAATTTAAGTTCTTAAAATATTAATTTATTTCTTTTATCTTTCACTGAAATCTGATTTCAAGGAATCTGATTTCACTAGGGACATTCCACTTTTCCCTTTTTTATGCCATTGCTCTCTGAATTAGCTGAGAACATCTAAGGAAACTGGAAATCTCTAGTAAAACATCAATACTCAGTTATCATATAAATAACAAGAGACACACTTAGTCAGGTTCCAATCATAAAGAAAATTAACATTAAAAAACAGAGAATAAAGGATGAAGGAAAAAACATTACCTGTTGAAATCTTCCCAAATTTATGTTAGAAAAATAAAAGTTTCATCAATTCTCAAAGTAGAAAAACCTACTTCATCTAGACAGCTGTGCAATAGTATTCTCTTTTTATATGCTAATTCTACTACCATGTATCAATGGAAAAATGTCATAAATACTTGAAAGAACATCAAAACTGAAACAAAACACAAACCCTTGGGTCCTTCCTCCTTCTTGCCACCAGTATCCCTGACAGGATCATCAATGCTGCAGTCTGTCCCAGCCCAGGAGAAATTACAAATGCAAGTGGCTTCATTACTACAAACCTGGAAAAGAAAATAAGTGACAGCAGTTAGTTTTTAACTACATTTTATTAACTTTATCTAACATGTAATGAGATATTTAATTCAAGATATAAAACTTACCCATTTATATATTTGTAACAATGGCACTGAGTGGTTGGAATGATATAACCCAACAATAATCTGAAAGTTTGCTTTAACCCTCTCAATACACTCAGATGCTAGGAAAAGCAGAACTGGTTCTATCATCACTTGCACTACAACCTACACACGTTGTAAAAAATAACAAATTTTCATCCAAAAAACCCTACCTAAACTAGTCATGTTTCACTAACTTCACTAACCAAATATCTAGACTTTGAGCCTGAATGCCCAGAAGGAACACAAGCATTTGTGTGTGAAAAGGTTCAAGACATGGTTACACTTTATAACCTCTCATTTACAGTTTGCTCCCATGTAGAACAAAATCAATATATTTTCATTGGTTTCATTGGCATTTTTCCTAAGCAGCAATGAGGAGTGCTTGTTCATCTTCTAAAAGAGAGGTAACAGTGCTTCCTAAGTTTGCATTTGGTTGAATGACCTCTAAAACAGGACTTAGGACTCTAAAATTGACAATAGATTTATCAGATACAGGAAAATCTAACCAATGGACAAAACCTAAAACATCAAATCAACAGGGAGAGTTAATAGCTATAAATTTTGCATACAACAAAAGAACCTGGAGAAGTTACTACAGAAAAAACAATGACATGAGAAACAGAAAACTAAGAGTGAAGTCAATCATTAGACAAACAGCTAACAGTATCTTCTGGACACTGGAACATGATGTGAAAAAAAAACAAAAACAAAAAACAAACAGCAAACAACCTACACACTAAGTAGCATTTGTGATTTTTTTAATTCAACTTTTATCACACTTTGCTTCTTAAAGTACTCACTGAAGAATCTAATCTAGGAGGTTGAAGATAAATAGATCTTATGGCAGGTTTGATCAACTGAAATACCCTTTTAAAATTAGGAATTGTAATAATCCAAAACAAAACAGTTAAGATGGTTCACTCACCCTTCATGCCACTCTCAAAAAGTACCAAGATGATTTCTAGATCTCCTAGATACTTTACTTTCCAATTTTAAAATTTTTCTTCTTTATTTTGAACCTAACCCTCCTCTTTTTTGAAACACTCAATTTCATATTCAATTACAGACAACAAGAAGAAAAAAAACATCTTCTTGTATCAAGTCTAGCCCCTTTGGCAAGTATGTGTCCCACTGAATCCCACCACAGAAAGGTTTCATCGCTATTTAAAGCAGGAAATCTGTTCATCAAAACATACCTAGTATCTTAGACAAATGGAGTTATGGATAGAATAACATAATATAATGTGCCTGAATGTAAAATGATACACTTTGGGTCTGTTCAAGAAGAATGTACCCTCTCTGTTGAGGACCCACAGTTTGGAATTTTAATTATTTAAGTCATAAAGTATAAATCTATGAACACAGGACCAACTTTACAAAGGTGATAGTATGCAGGAAAGAGTTTAACTGAAAATGGTAAGTGGCTTGAAATATGGGTAGTACATCAGAGAAGTCTTTACAATAACTAGTGTCAAAGTTCCTTCTTGTTGGTAACAAACCAAATACTTCAGATGTAATTGGAGAACTAATCTGACAATTTTGCTTTCTAAAATTTTATCTTTGCTTCACAAAATGGCAGTTTTCCCCTGAATCTTAACATTTCTGCTTTCAGATCAACAGGTCTTAAGAACACTTTCAGGTAGAGAACTGCACAGGGTGCATTAGGATCAGGTACAGCAGAGGGAGCTGGGGAAGCTGAGCTGCTCACTCCCAGCACAGACTCACCCCATGACCAGAACAGACTTTTCCATTAGAACCAGTGGGACAGCTGCTTATGTTCAAGGACTGAATTGGCAGGCACTTTTTGTCCAGACACATCATTTGAGGTCCACATGGAGCTCCATCCTCCACATAACCTAAATCTGTATCATCATCTAAAAGAACATGAGCACCACTAGGAGAAATAAGTTTTAAGATACTATTAGTATTATGACTGGCGTCTCTTGAAAATATTAAAAACATGTCAGTGTAGGTACTAAAAGCCTCATATCTTTCTTTCATTTAAGCATGCAGATAAACTGAACAAAACTATATAAAGTTTTTCTGCCTGTCCACAGCAATGATAAGGTGTTCCAGTTGTCAAACTAAAAACAAGTCTATATATTAACTTAACTACTCAAGAAGGGCACCTTAGGCCTAGGAGATTTTTAAGCCTTTGACAAACCACGCTTTTCTCTTTTTTTTTTTCTTTTTTTTCTTTCCTTTTTTTTTCACCAAAATGCTTTGAAATACTAATGCTAGAAAAATATCAAGAACTAACTTCCCATATGATGATATTTAAATAAAACCACTAGTAGAATAATAGAAGAATTAAGAATCACAGTTCATTCAGGACCTAACTGTGCAAGAGAGTATTCTTAGCATGACAGGAATGTTGCCAATGTCCTTAAAATACAAACCTAGTATCGTGAAAAGCAGACTAAAACCCATTTACCTGTCCTTTAACTGAACTGTAGCTTAATATCTTATCCTGACACAACTCTGCAGTTTCCTTCTTTTTTGTCTTCACTTCCCTACAGCTATTTCTCTGAGTATTTAATACTCAAAATCATTATGTTTAAAATATGGGTCTTTGGCAATACAGACTTTCTCCACCCCCAGAAAAACATAATGCTGAGCGTTACCATTAAGCTCTGACTGTGAAGTTCTGCTATTGGAGGGATCAGATACAGTAATCAGAAGGATAACCCACATTCAAATGTGGAATAATAGGCTTTTATGTATTTTTTTAATCAAAAGAAATACCACTTAGAATAATGATTTTGCTGCAATATATTAATTACCTAAAATTCACAGAATTTTACATTTATGCTTATCTTAATTCAATTAGGCTTGACAGAGCAAAATCACGTTGGAATACTGCATTATCTTTTACCTGCAGTCCACTATGCGTCCTTGATGATAAAAAGAATTTGGGATAATTTCTCCTTGAACTTGACCAACTCGTGGAACTCTAGTAAGATTAGTACAGAGCAAAAAGCCACAGAAAACATCACTGTAAAATGAAAACATAAACCAAAATATTACTGGAATAATATGAGGTAGACTTACAAAAAAGAAAGTCTGGCAATGATGCTACTGATCACAGTAATATATTACCATAAGCCACATGATAGACTTTCAGAGTACAAGCCTGGAAATAAAATATTATTTTATATAAATGATAAAAGGCAGAAACAAGTCACCATTCATTCTAATGGACCAGTGAATGTTCACATGAACAAAGAATGTATCTGGATTCTAAGTACAATACCGTACAATTTAGAGGAGCCAAATCATACAAAGCTTTGTCATGTCAGGCTAAATTACTTTTCACTCTCTCTAGCAGCTTATGTGCCAAACATTAATGTCACTTTTGAATTTTCAATTGAATTTTATTTCCCTTGCAAGACAACAGAACCATAATAACAATCATTAGCAGTTGTGTGTGCCCAAAATTTCATCAAAAATCTGCTTTATTTTATTTTGTTTTATATCTAAATATATTTCAATATATCTTACATAAGATACACAAGATAACTCTTATATCTTCAACAGAAGGATATCAGCTAATACTAATTGTCCTAAGTCACAGAAGTAGCTGGATGAATGATGGAAAATGCCTCTGTTAAAACTGCTTTGTTTAAATAGCTCTTCAGTTAGATCATTTTCCTGCATCTCTCTACCAACAAAGAAAAGCTTTTACAGAAATGAAATTTTTCATGTACACATCAGACTAACACTATTCCCATCTAAATATATTTTAAACAATTCATTAAACAACTCCTTTCCTTATGATCCTATCTGAAAAATAATTTTTAAGAAAGGCACTTGACAAACATCAAATAGTCAAAGAAGGAAAACACCATTGTGAGACTGAAATTTGTATGTGCATACTTAAATTTCTTCTGATTTATTTACTGTAATTTTAAAGTCTATCCACTAATGGTCATTAACTAGAAAAGTAAATTTAATCAAATATTCATCTAGTAATGATCACACGCAAATGAATCAGCCCTTTTCTCTATAGCATCCAAATGTCTAATGGTCCTCTCTGATCAAAATAATGGTTGGAATGAGTTTGAAACAGCATAATCTGGTATCAATCCTAGAGCAGTCAAAAACAGCGTGTGCATTTGCAGCCTAATGTATCACTACCAAGTCTGAGGTGTTTGCACATTATGAACTTGTGCATTTTTGTTGTGTTGTCCCTCAGCTCCTCTGAAATAATTAAAGTCAGTATATTCTTCTGAAAATCTGGAATTCTTTCCAAGTGTATTGCTGAGTCACCCATGGATTTGTCAGAATGGAACTTTTTCAAGATGCAAACCTTGTGAGGGAAAGAAGATTCAAAATAATGCAAACCAAACTGCTGAAGCATTCAAGAAAAAGTAGAAAAATTAGACAATATGAAACCATTATCAATCTATTTACATTACAAATAATCTCTACCAAGATGAACTTACTGTTTGCTGCACTGAATCCATCGGTCTCCATCTTTTCCACAGTTTCCCTTTGTTGTGCCTTCTGTATTAAGCTTTTCATAACAAAATTTGTCAGATCCTGAAGACTCTATTGATGAAGAAAAAAGAAACGTGCTTTCCACTGGCAACATGACAGCTTTGAAACCTGCATAATTTATTGCAGCAGTTCTCTGTAATTTTTTTAGTACAAAACATCAATCTAAACACACATGTATGTGTAGAGACCACATTTTCCAGTCACTACAGTAGGAAACCACCAGGCTAAACTGAAATATCGACTGATGGCTTTTTTAACTAATGCTCAATAATTCAAAATTTGCTCTGAACTTCTAAAAATGTAGCCTCCACAGTGCCTGAATTTTCTTCTGCATATGAAATTTATCTGTGGTCTAATTTTGTTAACTTCATAACAGTTGTACATAGAGTTAAATCTAGTTGTTTTCACTGATGTCATTCCTGATCTGCATTTCAGAAGATCAAAGATTTTATATATGACATTTATGATAAGCATATGTTCTGACATCAACTCTATGCTTATTTTATTCTATTTTTCAGGTGTTGATAGCAAAACCAAAGTTGAACAGCCAAAGTGTAATTTCTACTTATTTTTAGGAGTAAAAATCTGAACAAATATGTTTTCAAACCCACAATTATTTACTAAGAAGCTCATTTGTTTTTTCTAAAAATAAATTAAAAAAAAAGAACAAAGAAACCCACAACAATATATAGAGGAAGGTACAATAATAAAGATAAGTAAGACAGAGTAGTTTCAGTGGCAGTTATAATTAGACAAAATGCCCAAGAAAACATTAACTGCCAGAGTACAGGAGACCCTGGTAGTTTGGCTCTGCTGAATTGTCTCAAAGTCATTACACAGAACATTCACCCCCTCTAGACTTAAATCTGTACTATGCATATTTAACAATGTACTAATTTTCCTGACTTGTAGGATGTTACAGCAAAGAGAGGCAAGGTGGAGCAGCATGAACCATTGCTGGGATAATGGGATTGACAACTGTCATTTAAAAACACTCAAAATATTTGTTTTTGAACTGTACCCAAAAAATCCTCAAACCCCCCTCACCCTGGTAACATTTGCTGCCCTACCTAAGTCTGCAGCCACATCACATCAGAACAGTCTCACTGACACCACTCCCAGACAGAATTTCACCTGGCAATCAAGCCACAGTTTCCCACTGCAGTCTACTCACTCGACTGATCAGAAGACTTTAACTTAGAATGACAAGAACAAAAAATAAAAATACTGAAAATACAAAACAAAAGCAGGAATGAACCAGAAATAAAATACATTTAAGGTAGTTAAAGTCAACCTACTAGATCCCCAGATATATTTGCACTGATTATCTCTTGTCTTGCATTCACCATTATAGCAACGACCCTAAACAAAACACAAGATGTTAGCAATGAGAACTGAACACTACTTCATCTCCTTCCCCTCCCATGACAAATGTCTCATTTTGACTCTTCACACACATGTTGGGATCTATAACAGTTTCCATGGATTTGGGTAGATGGAGTACACATTTTGGCCCAGATTCCCAAAGCCAGTTGGTGTCCAATACATACTGACATTTCAGCAGTTGCTTTATATTTCCCCTTTACACAGTTATAAAGAAGTTATTAATGTGGAGGTAATAAAAGATCTACACGTAAAATGTAGAGATACCAAGTGGATTTTATTTAAAGTAGAATTCTGGACTATTCATAGTGTGCATAAAGCACAAGCAACATTGATGCTGAAAGGATAAAATTTATGAAGAAATATGGAATACAGAATTTGAAAAAAAAAAAAAAAACAACTCCAAAACAAAAATGTGTATTTGGTTGGTTTCTATATGCTGATGTGCAATTTTAAACATAGCATACCTGATTAGAATCACAGGCATACCCATCTTGTTTATGAAGATTCGGTGGACACTGAAAAAAATTAAGATTTTTTTACTGTTATGTGTCCTGTAATAATACATCACAGTATAACATATGGAATTTTCCTGGGTTTAAGACAACCACACAACATATAAAAGGGGTAGAGAACATAACTGGTGCTGCAATCTTTATAGTTACAAATACAAACGAAAATAATCAACATCTTGAGCCATGAAATACACGGTTCCAGTCTAACTTTGCATATTCTAAGTAAAAATTAAGGAGTTGAGGAAAAATGGAAACAGGGTGTTCAGTAACAGGACATTTGGTAGCTAATACTGGGGCCGTGTCTGTAATGCTGCCACTGCCTTCATTTCAGCTCCACTACAAAAGTAAGCAAGCACCTAGTTATAGCCTAGGTGCCTATTGCTTACAGAGATTTGGGGGGTTTTATGATATTATTTCTTGTGTTCTCTTGGCATTGGAAACTTTTTTGGTCCAGAAGCCTTAGACTACTAAAGCTAGGAGCAAACCATTCTCGAAGTTTTTCCTCATCTAAAATGGGCCTGTGAAAATTTGGAAAGGGTATGCTGCTGCCATGTGCCATATTAGCCAGTACTCTGAGGGCAGCCTTCTAGCTTGAGAAAGCCCTTCTCCCTCCCATTAAGAATGCTCTACCTACAGAATAAAAGATTTACAATAAAATACCAGTAATAGCTACTTATCTGGAAGTATGGGTGCCCCAGATGATAAAATAAAAAAAGGTACTGTAATTTATTGGCATCTACAATTACAGCCAGTGCCCGAAGAGAATGTGATCCATCCTGAATCTTATTTCTCCAAAGCTAAGAGCTTGATGCAGCAGATGACTGCACCAGTTATGAAATTCTCATATAAACTTGAAGTTCATATAAATAGAATAAATATATAAATACTCAGTATTGGAAAGGTGCATGTATCACCTAAAGTATCAAAGTTGCTGTGAAAACAGAAAATGTGCAGAATGTTGAGTGTTTAAAAGAATTCAAGTTAAAACATGTTGGTTGCTGTTTATTCCTTAGCTTCTGAGTATTAGCGAACTGTTTGCAGGAGAAATGCATAATAAGATCCACAACTTTTAAAATTCTCATACATGTGCACACCCTTAAAAAACGTAACACTTCATACAAGTCTTAGGGGCAGCAACTGAGGGAGTTGGGGTTGTTTATCCTGGAGAAGAGGAGGCTTGCAAGGACCCTCTTACTCCCTACAACTACCTGAAAGGAGGTTGTAGCCAGATGAGGGTTGGTTTCTTCTCCTTGGGTAACAAGGGACAGGATGAGAGGAAACTGCCTTAAGTTGCACCAGGGGAGGTTTAGATCGGATATTAGGAAAAATTTCTTCACTGAAAGGGTTGTCAAGCATTGGAACTGCCCAGAGAAGTGGTAGAATCACCATCCCTGGAGGTATTTAAAAGACACGTAGATGTGGCACTCAGGAACGTGGTTTAGTGGTGGACTGGGCAGAGCTGAGTAATGCCTGCACTCGATGACCTTAAAGGTTTTTTCCAACCTAAACAATTCTATGCTTCTATACTCAATTAGCTGTAATTTTCTACATCTAAATTTTTAACTATTTTATTTCATAAAATCTTACTGTTACCTTTGAATACATTCAAATTTGAAGTATATTTGTATTATTTAAGTTACAGACCAGGCAAAGAGTAAAGGAGGATGTCTGAGAAATATTATACACAAAACCCCATGAGCAGTAAAAAAAACAAATAAACCTACAGAAGTCTTATTATGAGTCCACTTAGATTATTTTTGTGAGTTTACAATAGTTCATTCTTATGTTTAAAATTTTTTGTTAGTATTAAGAAATACTCACCCACACACCCCATCATTTTGAGTATATGAATGTGCAGTTTGTTAATCCAATTTTCCTCTTGAACGAACACAAAAAAGAGTACAAACAAGCATCAACATGTGTAAGCAGAGAAGGGTTCTGCACACATACCTGTCCAGAATCCCCAGTGCAGAACTCTGCAATATCACATTCATTCACTGCATATCGACAGTCGTAACCTCGTGGGAAAAACTAGAAAATGAAAAATACAGTTCAGGACTAAGATTATATCCACACAAGCTGTTCCTTTTCATTCATAAAATGCACTCGGAACTTTAACAGGCTGCACGTGACCATGGACAACCGAAAAGAACAATAGATATAAGGCAGCAACACTCACAAGACATGATGTATTACAGCAGGGTCCATCACTACAATGAGCTCCATTAGAAAGAGAGCACTTCTTACAACAGTCTGCATAGCATTCCTGAAGAAAATATTAAGCAAAAGTTTGTTTTTTCATTTTCAGCTAGTTTTTTCTTCCTAATCTTTCCAACAAACTATTACATAGCAGCCAACAAAAGATTCAGTTTAGCACTGATGACCTGAAATTATCAGCTGGAAGAAAACTTTCCAATACTCAAGTACTGAAGTAAAGGGATAATATAATGCTATAGCAACATGGAGATTTACATCTTCTGAAGCCTCTTCATAGGTGTGGAACAGCTGTGCCAAATGCATGCTGCTTAATCATATTCAAGGCAGAAAAAAATGATTAAGAAAACTAATTATGGATACAATTATATTTAAATACTAGAGCTAGGATTCAAATCTACAGGGTAGATTTTTGCAGAAACGTTATTGGAATATTCCTAGAATAGAGAAGAAAACAACAGTTTACTTGTTCTGTCCAAACACAGGCACCTATCTCCAAAGTATCAATATGGAGTCTCCTACTCCAGACACATTATCTAGGAAAAGTAAAGGGATAAATCACTTCTACATTGCAAATCAAAAACTGCTGGGAAACAGCTGCATCTTGTCATTAGTATGACAGGAACAGTTTTGAGGACACTCTCCATCTTTGCACTCATTCTCATTTAGAAAAATGTTTTCAGATGGTGCTTTAATGAAATTGTTCCCAAAAAATAAGAAAAACAAATATTCATAACCTTTCCCCCCCTCCCTTACCAATCACTTAGTTTATCTTAGTATATTTTGTAAGAAAGACTTGTGGAGTAATATATCTCAACTTGCCATTCGGAAACCGCAATCACATTCTTCTCCTGCTTCTACATATCCATTTCCACACTCTGTGGTCTCAAAGAGCTGAAAGAAAAAAGCCCCCACCCCAAAGTAAGAATGAAACTAGTGTCAAATGATTTTTCTGTCACACACAACCCATTTCTGTGGTGCTACAGACACATGCTGTCACGTGCCGTGCTTTGGCAATGGGAAAGGCAGCGTGTTTTTCAAGTGCTGCTATTCAGAATTGATCAGACATGAAAGATGTACAGCTAAATCACATGGGTGCTAGTTCTCTTTAGGACAATACTGATCTCAGGAAATGAAGATAAACAGAGAGACACTACAATGACACACAAGGGGACAATATCTGAACTTCATTCCTGTTCTATATACTTCCAGTTCTCTGACAATTCCCTCAAGAAATTAGTCTGCAATATCATGTCTGGGATCTACTCAGGTACCCATCCTTGCTCATGCAATTAGCTACTGTCTATTCCTGTGCACCATGTTTGTGCATGAAAATAACAACCATTAAAAAACACCGCCAAAAAGAAGTTCTATGTGCCTTATTAGTAAGTTATATGCAACCACATACAGATACTAAACAGTTAATCCTAGGACCAGACATATACAATACAGATAAATTCTACAGTTCAGGATGATATAGGTTCTATACTGATTTCACATATCATAATTCTGATTAAAGGTATTTTTCAGTCTTGTCAAAGACATAATTTTGAAAAAAGCTTGTCTGTTATCAATCATAATTCTGCTTTAAAGCAATAGTAAAAGTAAGAATATACAGAATCTCCAATTAAACTGGGATATTAGTAGCAGAAACACATTCACTAGAACATGGTTGAAATGAGAAGTTAAAAGTTAAGTTAAAATGAGAACAGATAAATCTACAGCTAGATAAGAGTGAAAGATGCAAGTAAATTTTCTTTCTAGTGGAAGGAAGCTGTTGAGGATCATGCAGATATGAAACATAACATATAATACAAGTGATACATAAACTTGGATGGAATTCTTCTTTGGAGGACTTGGGGGGTGGGGGGGCAGAGGGGAATCATAATGCTTAATAAAAAACAAATACAACATTATACTTTTGTTGCATAAACCACATACATAATCAATAGCACCTACAATTTTGTGTACCAAAAGCAAAACTATACTGAAGCAATACCCATATGTACTCTTCTTCAGTAGCAATGTTGTCATGATTAAAAAACCACTGAAATCTCTCATTCTTTCCCCCTCCATAAGCCACTGTTTCTACTACACTTCAGAGGAAACAGCAAGAGCTCTTACTCCAAAACTGAAATTCAGTTCTCTGTCAAACAAGAAAATTACAGAACACAAGCATGCACACACAAATTTCCTGTGGCATTAATCAGGAACCATCTAATGTTCATATACATGTCAGAACATAACTTAGGTTGTAATTTAAAGAAGTGACTGCTTAACAAGAACTATGTTTTGTTTACCTAAGAATTAAACACACTATTTTGAGCCTTAACTCCTAACCTCCAAATAACAGGATTCTAAACATTGTATGATTATTTTTTTCCCCAAAGCACTTCAAAGCTGTAAAACACTGACACAGGTAATGTATAAAGACCATTACCCTGGGAGCATACTCCCCAAAGTAAATCAGGTTTTTATTCTGTATAGAGTTGACAACTTCTTCACATTACTTTGCTAGATAACTACCATTAAAAAATGAAGCTGTGTTTTAATATTTCCCTACTTACTACTCCTTCCTGTAAAAATTCTTACATTCTTATTCTATAAGCAAAGATTGCTACCCTGGAAAAGATTAAAAACACTCAAACAAGTCAAACTGATTTTAGTTAATCATGCAAGGTGATGGTCTACCAAGGGATACAGGACAGTAAACAGAACAGCCTAATAGCCTCATGAGATACTAAATTCTACAAGGACAGCAAGTTTGACACCATGATTAAATAGAATATTAATGCTTTGGATTGCTCTTACTTGGCAAAAAGAGTCACATGGAATATTTTTATACTACTCCGCTTTAGAAGGATGTCATGCTAACATTGCCTTAGAAAAAAACTATGACCTTGCTAAGTTTTTAGGTGAAAAAAAGCATTGGATGGTACAAGGAAACAGTTATGAATTACAGGGTTTGCTAGATGTACAGCTGAAATGAAATGAAGGTAAGTTAACTTTGAAAACAACCATGAGCTACTACTATCTACATGAAATGAGCTATGGATTGATTTTTATTTCCTAATGTGGTAATTTTCAATCTTTTTAACAACCTCAGGCAAAAAGTCCAAGAATTGAGTGTATGTGAAGCATATACTATGACCTCACTTCTGGATTTATTTTGCACTGCTTCCAGCTTAATAAGTAGTGCATTTATGCTGATGGGGATTTAGCTAGCTGTGAAAAATCAACTGCAATATTTGTCATTATTTCACCATGAAGAATTGATGGAAAACAAGTTGTGTTCCTCTCAACATTATTTTTAAATGCTAAAGGAATGAACAGGCAGCTAATTACAAACAACCTAGAGAAATTACCCACATAGACGTCTGAATAAACTTTAGAACAGACGTATATTAGTGAAATTATTACATTTTCACTGCAATGTTTGGCAGACGTGCTGACTACCAACCAATTTCTTACCTTTGTTGGCCTGTTAAAAAGACAGGCACCTCCCCCACGAAGTAAAAATTCTTTGTATTCTGCAATGCTGCATTTGGAGAATTTCCTGGAATGGTATACCCTAAAATGGCAAAGAATTAGCTGAGTAAATGACTTCAAACACCACCAGCTACTGGAAGGGGGTAATTTACATTTAATACTGTAAATCCCAGTTTCTTACAACCACTGTGTGCAACAGTATGACAGCTCAGTCTTATTCTCAAACAATAAAATCAGAACAAAAGAAAAAGTTTTAAAACACTTTGCATTTTTATATATCTACTTTATGGGTGTAAAGTATATAAAACTGTAGTCTTCTAATCTTCTCAATAAGGTGAAACCACACTCTCATGATAGCTGCTATGCATCTTGTCGATTGCATGCACAATCCAGTGTCCCCTTGTGTTTGTTTTTAGCATCTATAAGATGCTATAGCAAGAAGTTTCACAGATTATTTACAGACTGGTAGAAGAATAATTTCATTCCATTTTTTAATGTCATATTTGCTAATCTCATTTCACGTCTCCCTAGTTCTTAACTGGAAGAAATAGTAATCACTTGTTCATGACGTTACAGACTTCTCTCACATTTCCTCACTTCCATCTTTTTCCCAGACTAATGAAAACGTACTTTATTAGTAATTTCTCACACAGAAACAGTCTGATATTTGTATTAGTCATGTTTTGAGACCTAGGAATAAGATCTATTCACACTGTTAAAGATGAGGGTAGCCATGCCATAAGGAGGTTCTTTATCCCTTTCCTAGCTGCTCACTGCTACCAAGCTGCCATATCCCTACTGAATTGTTCTATATATAAAAAACGCCTTCTGAAGCCCCAGTGATGTGGTTAAGTGAAAAGGTTTGAAACTGCAGCTAATTATTCGCTCATTTCATTAGTCAGTCCTTTTTCAGCTCCTGGGTGACTATTTGCTCCTGGCATTTTTGTATACTGTTACCTTCTCTATGGTAGAATATCTTCTCTAGTGCTACTGAAGTATCAGCTCAAGGCTGATACTTAGATTCACCATGGGAAGGAAGCCGGTATCTATTCTGATCAATGCCTTACTTAGGATACCAGAAGTAAACTTATGGAATGATTTTCTGTTGCGTTCATGCAGTGGTTGACAGTTGCAAGTCTACAGGGAAGCCACCCAGTTATTCTCCTGAAGGACCAATTTCCAAATACCATATGAAGAAACTAAGCTCCTTCTATCTTATTTGTAGATAGTTTTCTCCCTGATTTTTTCAGTCAAGCTTCCATAGTGAGAACGATTCTGCCAGGAAGTGATTTATAAGACTCAAAATCCTATGTTTCAAAAGTTACCCTTTTCTAATCAATTAGAGTATAGAGAAAAGAATCTTTGGCAGTGTGTGAGGGTAGAGGGCAATGAAATTCCTCCCATAGAGATGTGCTTCCCCCTCAGAGTTCACTGACCATTTAGCTAAGGTTGAGTTCCAACTGCTTCTAGTTTTTCACTTATTAGCATTAAAACACATGGATAAAACCCAATATATAAATATTTCTGTCATAATGTAAACTATGAACTCATTCCAGAGTCCTCAATTACTGACATTTATGACATACCCTGTTTCCTCCATGATGCAACCACCCCAGGAGTCAGTGCAGTCACACTCTTCTCAGACAAGACCAAAATACAACAGAAAAGGAAAGAAGTTATAAACATGCTTACAATAAATATAAAGTACTTACTATAAAAATGGACCTTGACTAATTATACAAAGATCAGATGGTTGCTTGGCTGTACAAACTTTAGCCCCAAGAAGGAAACCAGCCCACTTCAAGACATACTAATATACTTAATAAATGTGATACTTTCAAATTACCATATGTGCATCCTCTTAGTCTCAGCACGAAGTTTCAGGCAGTACAGAAAGCTAAAAATAGCTGGCAATGTTCTTCCCTACATGCTCTCAAAACAGGCAGCACAAGGCTGTGTGCAGTACACTTAGTATTGAAGATTTAAAATATTCGCATTTCCTCCTCCCTAAAAACTATGCAGAATACCCTGAAAGAGAATTGTTCCTGGACAGGCCAGTTCTTCTTAATAAGAGAATTATTAATAGTAATACGTGAAACAGCCAATCAAACATTCATTGGAAAAAGTAGTTGAATGAAAATGGATTTACAGTTTACTTACAGCTATAGCATGTAAGTCAACAGTGACCAAATTCATAACATAAAAGTAAAGGATCAACACCTTATGGTTGGTAAAACAGAAGTTACAAACTACTCATAAAATTATCTACCAAAGAAGTAATATTTTCAAAAAGAAACGTTCTGTATTGTAATTGCTACTGGAAAACCACACTGCTTGTCCATGGGAAATATACAGATAATTTTTATGGTTATTTCTGCTCTATCCAGGTCTTTTACTAATCCTTCTCTATAAAGGACATCCAAATAAGGAAACTAAACTATCATATCAAAAACCTTTATCTTACAGTTAAAAACATGTTCTGATTTCCGAATTAAATGAGCTCTGTTTTACCTGTTATCAAAAACGATATAGAAAATGTCTTAGCAATTTGTCAGTTTACACAATTCAAAACCAATGCTTTACAAAACAACATTCCCTAAACATTGTTTTCTAATCCACAGATTTTCGAAGTGATTCCACAATGAAGTCAACTTTATAACTCATATTTTTGAAGAGGAAACAAAGAGAAAAGGTAGCCAAACTGCTCACAAAATGCAAGTAAAAAAACCCAACAATTTTCTTTAGCCTCAAAAAGGGCTTTGCAGCAGATTTTCTACTGACACTACATGTGTTAAGGCCACATAAATCTAATCAGGCTGTGAAGCAGCAAAATAACAAGTTGAGCAAACGTCACACTGGACTAGGTTACAGCTCCTTATCATTTCTTCAATTATAAGTCAGGTATTTTTGCATTTTAAGAAGTCAGTGATTGTGTAATAAGATTTACAGATTTCATTATGATAGAAAAGGAGTTCTAAATTAAATTAATGGCGTTTTTACCAATATACCTTTGAATGTTGGTTATGAATCTAACCACCTGACACAGGACATCACTGAGGTCATTGCCAAGTAAGTGCTAAAACTGTGTCTCTTATTTTGGTTAAACTCAAATCCTAGTGCATATATTTCCAAAAGCAGTAATTCTTGTTCTACAGTTACAGCAATTTTGGCATTTCTTTCAAACATTACAAAGGAAGAGTTTATATGCTTAGCTAAGAAGACAAAAGAAGACTCCGTGTCCATATACATACTCGGTTTCCTTGTAGCTGGGTCCCATTGTATTCCAAGGTTCTGAGCAAGACTTTGTGCTAGTTCCTGTGCCATGGGCAAAGGGAGGCCATACTGCATTTCAAGGGGAGCAAATTAAAAAAAAAAAAAAAAGAAAAAAAGAAAAAATTAATTATTGTAACAACACTACAGTGACTCATTCTGGCTTACCACGTACCTACTACTTCAGTAATTCAGTACTGTCAATCACAATTCTGTGTCCATACAAGGAAAATAAACTCAGTAAAGTTGAGTTTAACATAACAGAAAAAAATTTCCTCCCTTAACCTCAGGGAATCTCTCCCTGCTGGTTAACCTAAAGAAAGAAGTCTATTTGATACATATATATAAAATGCACTTTTGTATAGTATGATTAACCCATCTTAAAACAGGAGACTTTAATTATCAATTTAACATTACACTGAGATAAAATAATAATAATAATAATTAAAAACTCAATACACCAGGACAGTTTTTTTCTAGTTTCAATGTTAAAAAAATTCAGGAAGAATTACATATCACTGGCACCTCAGAAGACCAACCCTCTTACAGTGAGAGGACCCAAAAAATATTAAGTGCTGAGTTTCAAACACTCTGGAGATTTTTGGGTCTAAATTTCTGTCAAATATATTAAAAGCCAATTTAAATTCTTATTAAGACAATAATGCAGAGAGGAAAAATGCTTTTTAAAAAGAAAAGTACACTGAGTAGTAGTTTAATGATGATCAAGAAGGCTGGCTGTGAGAATCCTAACTTTTTAATATATAAATTATCTTTAAAGCCCTGAATACTGAAATACATAAACTCAGAAGTTACAATGTGCAGATTCTATTTTATTTCACCTTAGTAATGAAAAAAAAAATTACCTCATTTACTCCAACTCCTCTGGCCACAGAGCAAACCCCTCCAAAGTAACTTAAGCTGCTCCTTTTGTAATGAAATGTCACATTCCTTACAAAAAGATAGAAATGAAGAAAATATAACAAATTGACATTGGCACCAAGAGCTTATTTAAAGATCATACTCTCACACATACTATGATAGATTGCATGTAATACATCTTCTTGTAGCATCAAAAGCAACTGAAAGCTTACAAACAGAATACCAACACTGAAAGAGAAAGCTTTGAGAAAAATACTATTTTTATTTTGTAGAGTCAGAATCGGTCTTAACCCACAAACAAACCAAGCACAGAAAGCTAGAGTACCAGACTCCTAAGAAAATAAAATGATCACATTTCTTTTAAAAGTTAACAATATGCTCCAATTTATAATCTGTCAGGAAGGAATGCTGTTCTGAAATGTATCAGTGTTGAGAATTTTTTTAATTATGATCTTAATCCAAACCAATTCAAGTTCTAGTTTCAACTCCAAATGAAAACACTGAGAAGTATGCCTAAAGGGAAAGTAACTTAATACTGTTCTTTAACCCTGCCTACTTTCAATTATTGTTAATAAGCCCCAAATAATTTAGATATAATAATTAGTTAAGTAATCTGGAAGACCTAAATTATTTTATAAAATGCCTCTAAATTACTATGAATGATACCTATTTGAACTTCATAGTCGTAATAATAAATCTACACCGCCTACAAATGACCTACAGTGACCTTGCATGATCTACAAATGACCATAATCTTCTAAAATTATTGGTTTTTTAAATGACAGGATACTCCATACAGGTATATATTTACTTTTCAGAACATTCTGACAGCCATCAGAACTTTCAGACTGCAGCCTAAATAAACACTTACATCCAGGAGCCTTTACAGTAGTCAGAATCTCAGTAAGGGCTGAGGCTGACAGGCTCTTCTGGAAACGGTCTAGCTCAGCCCCCCTGCTCCATGGAGGCTCAGCTGGAACACGCTGCTCAGGACCGTGTTCCCCTGGCTTTGGAATATCTCCGAGCATAGACAGTCCACAGCCTCTCTAGAGCAGCCTGTTCCAGCATCTGACCACCCTCACAGTGAAATGGCGTTTTCCCTATGTTTAAATGGAATTTCCTGTATTTCAGGTTGTATTTGGTACCTTTCACCATGCACCACTGAGAAAAGCCTGTTTGCTCTCGCTGGCAAATTCCTCAGCAAGAAACATGATACGTGCATGAAAATCATTAAGAGTGCATGTCAGCAGCACTCTGCCTACGTTAACAAGAATGCAATTAGCACTGTGTTGTGATGCCTGTATTAGGGAAATCTGGAGGAAATTCTTCAACCCTTAATTTTATCCTCCTCTGCAGAAGATGAATTATAGGAGAATCCCGTGGAGGACATTTGTCACTTCATCCTCATAGTATGTCATGCTGCTGGGAGGTGGCTTAAGATCTTTATGCTGCTCAGGGGAACACACATTTCCTGCTCTTTGCTTACAATGCCGTGAAGCAAAAAAAATACTTGTTCAAGGTTGAAATTGTGCCTAATGATGCAAGTGGAATTTGCCCTCAAAATGCACTGTGTCTCAGAGAACAATTCATTCCAGTTCTAAAGGAGGAGATCTTCCACTAACAAATCATCTATGTAGCTACATGTGTGAATAAATACTAACTGGAATGCTCTTGTGGCAACACATAATGCTGTCAGCTCTGCCCTCTCCTGATCTTTATTGGGAAAGCAGTACATTACACACCTGATTAGCAAAGCTAGGTGTCCTTAAGGGCTCATCAGAAGACACTTCAAATATGTGACACTGTCTCCAGGTTTTAAAGACATTCAAATTTCATTATAGATGTACATCAACATGACCATGGCATATACCACACCTATTAAAAGCAGGCTAACGTTACATATGGATTAAGTTTCCTAAGTAAGGCAGATGTTGATTCATATAGTGAATATACTGAGCAAAAAAGTATGAAAGAAGAGACAAGCAGAGAGGAAAGTATATAAAACTGATATTCTAAGCCATCACACAATGGTACATACGAGAGCAGGTGCACAGCATCAGCGTGCTGTTTGATGTAGTGCTGTCGGTATTTGGAGAAATCGTGGAGCATCTGCAGAGGGTCCGGGTGAATATTAATGCGATCTCTGTCTGTCCAAGTTTCCACAGCAACAAGAACCACCCTGGTGTTCAGCTGTTCCTTGTATATCTGAGGGCAGAGACAGGACAGGCACAGGAGTAGAACACTGGGTCAAACATGCACAGTTAGCCAGTAAGAGTAAAGCGGAAGGACAAGAGGGATAAAGCAGGAGGAAAACATGGGGAAACAGTTAGCTGGAAATGCCTTGGATTTCCTAGAAGTTGATATTCTGATCAACTTAAATATTATATTTTAGAGGACAAGAACATCCCTTGGTGCTCTTTCTTTTTTTTTTAGCCCCTCCATTTTCTTTAAAATTCTCATGTCAAATAATTTTGCCACTGAGTTTTGCAGAAAACCCGTACAAAAATCAGCAAAGAAGAAATGTAAAGGTACACTGGGTGATCTCAAAGAAAAAAAAGGAAGATCTCAAAGACAAAGAATAGCCAAAGAAAATCCTTAAGTGGAGATTAAATAATTTCTCAGTACATCCAAAATTCAATTCACATAATGCTTGATTTCCATTTATATAGTATGATCGCTTAATACCACTCAAGCAATGTGAGGATTAAGTAAAAATATTAATTTTTCTATTAATTTTAATCTAACTGTAGTAATAGACAAGGAAACAACAATCAGGCCCTAAAAATAACAAAACAGTTTTAAAATAAGCTTTTTAACTTTGTGCATAATACTTGATTCTGACATAACACTGCTAGTCTCTTTAGGCTCAGGTAAAAAAACTGTCAAATTTTACTAAGGTTATGCAAAACTTTCAGATCTACAAAAGATGCATTCCTCATCCACCCTGACTAGAAAGCTAGTCTTTTTTATCAGGACAGCATTATCCTTATTAAAAAGTAAATGTATAATATTCATCTCGGGAAAAAAAAGACAATAAATGTAAGAGCAGGAGAGAGCAACCAGTTAAGCTCAATTTTGTCCAAGACCCTTGAAGGAAAAAAAATGCTTCAATCTGACGAAGGCAGTTGACAACATACACAGAAAATGGTATACAAAATGAGAAAAATCCATAAAATTAACCCCCCTGAAATTACATATGGGTCGATCAATAAAGACTTTACTTCTGCTTGCTGAGAGGAAAACTATTTCCTGAAGTAAACAGGAAGGAAAGAATGGAAGAGGGAGCAGAGAACCTGAAAGCCTCTGAAAGCCAGGATCCTTTTCCCAATAATAAATCAGTAAGAAATACAGCCCACTCCCTATGGACACAGGGGAATAACAAGGCAGAAATTTCTCCTCTTTTTCATGCTTTATTTAAAGAAAAGGCCATTAAGATGCCATTTTGGAAGATCTCTATAAGGGGACTGAATTCTACACTGGAGTGAAGTTGAATGTTTCTGCATACACACACATAGAGCAAATAAAAATGGAAAAGCAGATGGAATAGTCAGAGAAAGGAAAGACAGATGAAATAACTTTTGTTAAAATGCAGAAGAAATACAAAGAAGTAATGACCAGATGAGAAAAAATAAAAATGCCACCTTTTCCTTGGGAATATACAATATAAATTGAAGAAATATTATTTCAATTATTTACATTTTTACCTGCTCTAGTAACTTTTTTTTAGACTACTGGCATTTTCAGACCATTACAGAAAAATATTCCAAAACACTTCCCATATTTCATGTATTATAAATATATTCACCTGAATTTTCAACATACATACAGTATACTTTATATGTAAGATACTAAGAACAAAGACCCTATTGCTTCCTCTGAGCCAAACAAATTGTTGACAATGTTTTGCACTGAATCACATCACACGGTTCCATTGGCAGCAATCATGTCACATGGAAAAGGGACTCAGAGTCAGCATTTGGTAGCCTTTGTATTCATAATTACTAGAGAATCAATCCTGTTTTCAGCATAAACAGAGCTCTGAAATGTGTGGTCACTATATGTGTATCAAAAAGTGGGGAGAAAAGCAAATTTTACCACAAATATTACTTTTAGTTTATGTGCTGTATGCAACATTGTTCTAAATTTAGTCACAGATACAAGTATGGTACCTGTGTCACTTTCACCCATTTATAATGTACTACAGTGGGATTTTGTTTGTTAAGCTACAAATACAGATTTATCAAGGAGAATTTTTTACTGGCACTCTTTTTCTCCCAGTAGATATGTGTATTCTTTGTGGACTATACTCCCAGTTTCAAACACTTGTGGTTAGATTTGTTTCACAAATCTAAACTTGATTAAATATCATTCTTAACTGGTGACAGAAATCTCCTTTAAGTTTGAAATCACCTCTGCTAAGGGCAAACTCTGGCAGCTGCAAGCTTGAGAAAAAGGCCATGGAAAATCTGGTGGTTTCTTATACATTCACCCCAGGCTATTCTTCCACAGAGGAGCTGGAAATGCACTTTAAAATGTAATTTTCATAGCTGCTTTTTTTTTTTATCCTGATATTTGAAAATGTTAACTTTTTTACTAAACTAAAAGTCAGTGAATCAGTGTTCAGAGGAAACATGGATACTTACAGCATCTACAAGATTTACCACAGACTTTGCAAAATTGTTTGTGTATGCATTTGAAGAACGGTGCCTTTTGAACTAAAAGGAGAAAAGAAAGTAGAACACAGTAAGAAGTTAAATATTTATTACTAATTCTTTATTTTTACAGCATGAAAGGAAAATTAATATTTTAAAAAAGAGTAAAGGAAAACCTCAAAAAGCTTTTCAAATCATAGCCTACATCTCACATTCAAGAATCCCTGGAAAATAAAGGCAGCCATGTATGCTAGACAGCCTTTCACATCTGTAAAAGGAACACTTAGCCTCAAGAAATATCCTATTTATAAATAGAGTTCAAATGTTTGAGATAAAATTACAGATAAACATAAACATGAGCTCAAGATTGAGAGGATACTGTGCCCATTAAAAGTGTGCTTAACTTGTTAAGTTACCTATCAGACTGTACTAGACACATTCCATGACTATAAGACAGGAAGATGAAGCATTTACCACTTGTCCTCTGCACAGCTCTTTGCAAAGCCATGCTTTCTGCACAATAGCACAAGACTCTTATGACAAGTAGTATTAGTTGTACCAAAAGACAAAATGGAAGAGGGAGGGCACAGTAAAAGTAAATATGTAAATGTGAAAAGAGTTGAGCCGAATATCTTAAATTTTAACTTTAATTTTTTTTCTATTTTTATAGACTTAGATGAGGTGTATTAGAAGTTCTGCCTCCTAATTTCTGTGCATGTCATTACAATGGTTTCATGTCTTTTCTTATCCTGCCCCACAAGTCCCTTCTGTTCTTAGTCAAATTTTTTAGAGATGCAGCTATGGTATCTGAACATGAATCCATCGCTTTCAAGAAACTGTAAAATTATAAACCAAAACTACATTACACAATATGATTTGCAGACAGAAAAGTAAGTCTTTAAAATTTCACAGAAAAGGCACATAAAATTGCTTAGAACAAAGAGGGCAAAAAGTCTTCACAAAAAAACTTTTACTAATTTTAACTACTGGTTGAAAGCATCCAGTGAAGAACTACAAAACAGACAAATCCCCCATTTTCCAAAATTATTCTTTGTGTAAAGGTGAAAGTAACTATGTTTTTAAAATTAAATAATCTGTTTCTGAAATTGAAAGAAGAGGAGTCACCCACACAAACACACTATATTATTAGATGATAAATTTGCCATTCTGTTAAATTCAACTTATTTTTGCACAATCAACCTAGTTTTATAAGGATGAAATGCCATAGAAATAAAAAAAAAAGTTCATAAAACTTAATGGGGACACTCATTTGACTGCAGGAAGATAATTTTTTTTACAAATGCAGATATTCACTGTTAGGTTCCACAATGCTTCAGCACAACCATGGCAGGTTTTAACACCCAAAGATCCTACAACAGAGGTTTGCAGAGACCCATTCCCCTATAACTATTCTCAAAACAAAGCATTTTCAGGTACAGTGCTAGTAGATGCTTAGGATGTACACTGAGAGGAATGTACATATCACAAGTCTCTGCTCCCTAGGGAACCATGACAACGGGACAGTGGGAAAGGGCAGCTTTGGCTTTATGTTTTGAGCCAATCCCAAACCTTTCCAGGAGTGGAAAGGTAAAACAATATGCTTTGGAAAATGTTCTTGGTTTTTGTGAAAGTACTAAAATGCTAAAATCAATAGCAATAGACCACATAATATGTTTAAACACAGCTCCTAAACCACAAATTAATCTAAGCCAGTAAAAAGTGCAACAACCTAATTAAACATATTTAGTTGTGTCTTTATTGCTACAGGAAAGTAAAGTGTGAAAATACATAGTATTAACCACTTAACACAATGGTCAAAGAGGTTTAAGATACTTCTTCCAACACAGATGTTTGCTGCAGGGGAAACCTGCCCTCTCCTGGTAAGTAGAAAACCTTGAAAGTACATTTAGTGAGCTCCTGGACTGGCAAGCTGTGACGCTTAATTGTGAACGCTTTCTAAGTACATCCATTTTATTCCTTGAAAAGATTTATTATCTGCTTCTGAGTCACTGACAACTCTCGTGGTCAAAAATTCTAACAAATAAAGAGTGAGAGGAGACAACAGTTAGTGTCTGTAACCACTGTAGTGAACAGAGCAGTTGTCCTTTAAGTATGTCTGTAATACAAGAGGCCAGAGGAAACAGACTAGAAAGATTTTCTCTTGGTAAGGAACATCAACCACAGACACCAAACAAGACAACACAACAGCCATAACTTCATTTATTGTGCCCTGCTGCTGAACAACTAACACCTGAACACTCTTACAGTAGTTTTCTACCAGGTAGCTTTACAAATGAGAACAACTCAAGAAATTCTGTCCTACGCTTTCCACCCACTCAAATTCCCTCCACACTGTTAACCTCCAAACATAGGTTATGTTTGCCCAGACCACTTCTATGATTTATTAGACAGATGATGGAAGGGTATATTATCTTTCTATTCAGCACTAGAACACGTACAAATTACTGCATCCTGTTCTGATATTAGCTGCTTCTTACTCTTAAAAATTATTCTTCAGTGTTGGCAAAAGAGCCCAAAACAACATAAAGCATTGGGAAAACATGCAGTAGAGTGAGAGACACAGCAATCTCTTTACTTGCAAATAAAATAAACAAAAACTGTTTTATCAACAGAATTTGGTTTTTTTTAAAAAAAAGTCTTGCTCACACAAATGTCACTCTGCTTGACATTTTCCAGTCATCTTTCAAGAAAAAATGGGAAAAAAGTGGGCTTTCCTCCCCCTGCTCCTGGGATTTTTTTAATGACAACCACTTTCTCAATCAAACAAACAACTTATCCTGCACTTCATTATGAATCCTGTTCATAAACGCAGAATACCCAGGAAGAACAACCATGAGAGTTTTGTCTATATGTTTTGCTGCATTAAAATTTAAGTTAGTAAAACTAAACTCAAAATAACAAATTCTGACCTCTTTCTATATAACTTTAAAGATGTAATTTTAGAACATTTAGTGTGTTGGTTCTGGACACAAATGTTTTGTTGCTTTACTTCACTGGTTATGGGCATACTAAATTATCCATATGATACCAAGGTGTTTCAGATTTATTTTGCTGTAGAAAATCTTAGGCAACATTAAGCTTCATTAGGTATTATGGTCTATACTCTGCCTTACAGTACAGCTGTTAATAGCTGCTGATAAACAAAATATTGGACCCAAAAGTAGCTTATGCAGCACAATGCTGTGCATCAACCTACAAACTATCACCAAAAGGAAGATTATCCTTGAATTGATATACTTACCATTTTATGGTCATTGACTATCATGAGCTCCAGATATTTCATTTCTTCGAAGACACCACGAGATATCTGACAGATTAAAGAAACTGATTGAGAAATCATGAAGATGTAATGATTTTCATAAATAACTGCAGTTGATTTATATTATATATACATATTACATATATATGTGGGGAGGGTGTAAACCCGTAAAAAACTGGGTCAAACATTCAGCTAGGGTGAAGAAACAGTAACTTTGTGAGTTATGATAGACACTGGCTGAGAATCTGAGTCACATCATCAAGAACATTCAAAGTCTACTCTTTTTGGCTCAGTGCAGACACCACCACTTCTTCCATCCTCTTTTCATTATGTACTATTCATCACGGATTTAATGAGGAAGGAAGTTACTAAAAACAGATGCACCCTCAAAAATGTGGTGTGGATTGTGCAACTCAGTGAAGAAATACAGATTAATGTTCCTTAACTCAATTATTCCCCTAACTGACGCATATGCATGTGAAGTTCATGAGGACTGCCCACTTATGTTCTCTGAATAATCCAGTTCTGGGTGTCCTCGTTTGGACTTTTGATTTAACCGTGCTACTTAAGGAGCCAAATGACAACAAAGTCAGATATCCACAAAGTAGGCAAAAGTTCATTCAAAATTATTCTTTACCCTCAAGCAGACCCAAAATTTAAAATTCTAAACTCATTCTCACTACTAAATTTCCCCTGAATTGATGTATTGTTGTCACTTTAGAAAGTTTACCAACTATTTTCCAAATATTCTAATTTTAAAGAACGATTTTATTTTCTCACTTGATAATTTTATTATGTGACAATGTTAAGGTACTAAAAATATTAGTTTCCTAAAGTTTATGTTCTCTTGACATTAAAAACCACAGAAATTAGTGGGTTTGGTTTTATAAATGGTCTTAACTCAGGGTCACACTTTTACTCACTGCTCTCTTTCTTCTCTTTCTCCTCAGCCACTGAAGTTCAGACAGAAAGGGCCATTCAGAACTAGAGTCAGTCTCTGTACAAATTAAAATTTAAGAATTTCATGGCATTATTTTAAACTACTTAAGTACACTGAGCAAACCTAAAGTACATCATCAAAATGAGAACCATCTTTGCTATTGAAAGGTTCATTTTTTTAAATATATATCTCATATCAAAACTCAAGTAATTTAGAAATCTGATAGTTAAAGCATGCAAGGAGAGATAAAGAGATCATACCCTGGGCTTAGAATATATATATGTTTTCTTCCATCTTCTGTCCTCAAAAGCATTAATATCACTGAATAAATTTAGTGATTTGCAGAAGAAAGCTAAATACAGGTCTTGATGGATGAAAATCTTTCAGCTGCTTACTGAAAAATCTAAATTCCATTGTAATAATTGTGGGAAAAGTCAGGTTAGGATCTATTTTTCAAGCTTTTCTAAATAATCAGCAATTTTATGTACCCTGTTAGCCTAATTTTCAAATTTTTCAAGTTATATATACAATTATTTCCCATATTGAAAAACTCATAACATAAGCAAAAACATACCAAGGTCCTGCAACTGCTTGGAGGCTTGTGTTCCGTAAGTTCTTTGGATGATATGTGGCCTACTTTTACTTTCCTGATAAGAAAAATATGTGAAATTTTCTTCTAATTAATAATGTCAAGTGAAAGATGTGGCACTTCTTCCAGCATTTATCATTTTTATTGTTTTTTCAATAAAATCCAAGCAATCACAGTATCAATTTGGGATGGTACTAATTTGAAGCAATCTATTTGCAATCCTGAGCAAATCATGGAGCCCCTCTGCTTCAGCACATTTACTGGCCTACAAAACTGAAGTATCACAAATGTCTTTGAGATTACCTGAAAAAAAACCCTTAAAAGCCTTACTGTTAGAGAACACAGATCATTTATTCCAATAAATCAAATTAGAAAGTCTATATCTGGTTGAAATCTTCCTGCCACAGATGAAAAGCAAGTTATTACTATTTACGAAAAAATCCTATCTAATTGCAGCAAAATGCAAGAAACCAATCAATATGCTATCCTTAAAAGGACTATTTCACCCTGTTTTATTGTTGTGTACAACACTTAAAAAGGTTACAGCTTTTAATGCATATTTTCTTTAGAAGTCTGACATACTCCAAATTATTACATTTGAGTATCTACTCTAGAAAACAACTCTTTTCTTCCATAACACCTCCTTTGCAGAGCCTGTCAAAACAAGCAATTCTTTTCAAAGGGCAGGATGCAACTGTTCTGTAACTTTCCTAAGAAATACATAACTCATTGAAGGACAATGCTGCATATTTTTGCTGAATTTTGGGGGGAAGAGAGGGAGTTTTATATAGTATCTACTATAGTTAAGATTAATCAAGCTGAATACACTACACACTGAAGGCTGTGTCCAAGATACATATCTTGCATAGTGCAATCAAAAAATGAGCCTCTGAAAGCTCTCTGTAGCTGTATTATTTTATTTTCAGTAGTTTTGAGAAAAATATGCATCTCATCTGTCTTCTTATCATCTAGAATTCAACATGAATCCTCGACAGAGTTGGCAATTGGTATCTCACTTTCATAACCAGAACTTCTCCTACACTTAAAAAGTTTTACTGAAATACCACACTGAGAGAGAGATCCTGGTTTCGTTTGTTCACCCAAGCAAGAAAACAGTTTAGTCAAATTCTCTTCTTCCTACTATATGGATACTGCTGTATAAATACATTCTCCATGAATTTACTGTGTCTGTGTTGCCAGTTTTCACACTTAAAACCTTTATGAACATGTGCTACAGCAAACATAGACACATGGAATGGAATGTTGCTCCTGGGGAGACAGAGAAGTTTTTTAGGATGTAATATTTTCCTGTGTCTCCAAAGTTTCATTTATAGTCCAATAATTGAACATCCAATTGATACTGATTCCTCCAAATGTTGGTCCAGTTTATTTGCCAGTATAAGCCAGTGATTTTTGCAGATCTTTATTTGGACTGTAAGTTCAGCATTACAAGCACTAAAACTGGTTCTGCAGAGTTAATTATTTGTCATATACTGGTATGTAATAGAGCGAGACCAGCTTAAGAGCTGTGGTACAGCATCTGGAATACATTCTACAGACCAAGAAGGATAAAAACCTTAAGAATTCTCTGTCTTAATGTTGCAGAATCATTTCACTGAAAATAACTCAAATATTTGAATCATTCAAGAGGTAGAAATCTACCTAGTTTTACTACTGTCTATGAAACTGTGTCAGCTCTAACAGCTAAATTTTTAAGAACAGCTGTATTATAATATTTAATATGAAATACAAAAATAATAATAGCAAGATATTTGCATAAACGCAGTCCTACATGCTGATCCAGCATAGTCATGTATTTGAATATGCTATATCAGAATCATTTAAGCTATACAGTGACCACTGAGATAACACATACAAAGTGTAAGATACCCAGATAGAATTATCTACTTAATTAAGCTCCTTGTGGAAACATGGTAGGTCAAGAGCAACCTGATGCAACTATCTAGAGAGGAATGTATAAATGAGTTCCAGAGATCTCTTCTACGAATTTATAAATACTTTAGTTCAAGTACTAGAGCAAATTGATAAATGCTTTTAGACAGTCCATAACCATGTGCTAAAGAAACAGTCTTATTAGTCTATTCCCAGCATCTAAATAATCAACAAGTAAGAAACAAAAAATTAAAGAAGAGAAAAATCATAGGTAAATCACACTTACAAATTTCCTGCCTTAAATAAATTCCAATCAAGTGTTTTAAAATAGTTTTGGTTTTCATATGAACACATGAGACACTCATCTATTGATTTGTTCTAATACTTTCATTTGCTATTCCTTGAGCACTCTCCCAAACCAAACAAATTAGATAAAAATAAACTTACTTCACTGTGGGTCAGTTCCATTGGTTCTATCAAGTACAAATAAGTACTATCTTCAAACATGCCACTAGAACATGGAGAAAAAGAAGTGATATTTAGGATTACATGGCAATTACTCCAGGATACGAATTTTGATGAGACAAAAGCAAACTTAGGGCTGAAAACCTGACCAATATTAAAATAAATTCCATATATGTTCATTACCACCACATGTAGTTAAAGCTAAGTATATTTTTTTTTTAAATATGACACACATTTTAATGAACCAACACTAAATGTAATGGCAATGCAATGATAAAGTACCAAAAAGAGTAAAGATTTGACTTTGGAAAGAGGAAGTACTAAGATACACATTGCCATGCAGAATATAATCAACAGCTGAGTTGCACTTAACAGTAACTAGTTCTAGTAAGGACTAATTTCTCACATTTTTTTCTTTGTATAATTTAACAAAAAGATCAGTTTTTCTGTTGGCTGACAGAATCATATGTGAATACTGACCATGCAAACTTCTAAAGTACAATTCTTGTTTATCCTTCACCATAATAAGTTATATGGGGAAATATTTATTTGCACTTACCATATTCAAAGGTTTTATGAGACAGCATCAAAATGTTAACTCCAACGATATTAGAAAAAAAATGCTAGCAGTTTGGCTTAGCTGGTACTGGCATTCCAAAATATCAAAATGTTTAGGCCTGTAGAGTTTCAGTCCCTCACATATTAAGTGATAATATTCAAGAGTCATAAGTAGTTATAGCTTTGTTTGAAAAATGAGAACATGCACTTACTGAAGTCCATTACAAGTCGAAAGAGCAACTTTGGAATCCTTGATACCTCTGATATTTCCATGGTAGTAACAATGCTCTCCCCCCTAATAGTGTTTAAAAACAAACAGTCACACACAAAAAATTACCCTGATTTAATGTCTGTTACTTAAAACCAAGGCAAAAAAAGATCTAACACTAACAATACCCATTTAGTTGATTTAAGTAATATCTTTACTATCTATCACAATAAACCCAGCTAAATTAAAGATTAAAAGTATTCTCAAAAACTTTTATTAAAAACCATTTAAGTGTGGTTCTTTCACACATTGTTAGAAAAACCTACCATTCATCGTAAAAATATTCTTAATTCTAGTGTCATGTCATCTGAACTCCAACAAGCATATTGAACCCATTCCTTATGCAATTATTATAACTCAAGAAGGTACCAAAAATATAAATGCTGTTTGTCTATCTATGCACAGCATTACTTCCACTTCACATCTTATTTAATCAGTTATTCAGATTCTGAATAAAATTCCTAACAGGCTAGTGTGCATAACTAAATCAAAGTACAATACAGAAAGTAATCACTATGTGTTTACCTTTCCATAGTGAGAATGCATAAACCATGCTTTTTAACAGCTAAAATGTGATCATCTCTCTCACAGAAGATTTTTTTTTCAAGATGATCATCTGAGTAAAGAAATTGTTGTCTGTTCTGCAGTCATTCTTGTAATAAACTACCCCTTTCTATAAAATACAGCACTTTTCATTAAGATCTCACTTCTTTAAATCCACATTGGGGAAAAAAACAATCTTGTACCTACTTAGGCCTAAAAAGTATTACAAGATACTGCAAAAGACCAGGATACAGTCCTTATTTGACCTCCTACACAAATTGCATGTATATTTTTTGAACCCATAACAAAGCCTTTTATGGATTAATAATGTGATCTCAGGAGCTCTATTACTGCTTCTAAATAACACAACTCAGAAAACATCCCTTAGGAAGTTTGGATCAAGTTACTGCAGCATGCAAAGGTAGCCCATTTGCTGAGTCTGAAGTTCTAATATAATTTTCCATTCAGATTCATGATTCAGCAACCGCAGTGCTCAATACTAGTGCTGCAGCTGACAATTGCATGAGCTTGTCTAAGTGCCAATGGGAATTGTTTTCTTGCATCATTTAGCATTTTTGCCTATTCTGCAGAGCACTGAGTCTTAATGAAACAACTTCCTTTGTATGTTACATGAAATTATTTTTCCTTTACAGTGGAAGAGAACAATTTCAATAATTACATTGCAATGTAATTGTTTAATTCTGCAATGTATTATTTTATTTGAGATTCTCCATAACAAGGGCAAAATAATAAACTAGATATCTAATACTTGGACAAACAACAGTCCTGAACTTTCTGAATGCATGAATGCATAAATGCAACTGGAATGTTTGCTTGCCTCCACTCTAAATAGAGATATATTTCACACATAATAAGTTCACAATATTCATACCAAATACGAAAAAGTAATTCCCGAAAAATGTAGTTTTTAACCTTCCTTGGATCATACCAGCCCTCATTTTGTTACTAAAACAAACAAAAAGACTGATGCGGTTCCCTTAGGGCTGAACTATCTTGTATAACTTTAATCTGCCCTTGGATTAATAGCCTATGGCACTGAATTCAATTTGGTAGCTTGTTTGACAAACTTAATTAATTGGATATCAAGCAATATGCTGATTTTGTAATAACTCCAGAGGTTAAGGTTTCAGTTAAGTCTTTCGTTTTCTGTTTCACAACTGTACAATTCTTGCAAAGAAAAGTCACTGCCAGTTTTTTTTGTTTGTTTGAATGTCTTACATTACCATTATCCCTTCTCCTTGCACTTTGTGCTAAGGACATGTGAATAATTAATGAAGATTAATCTGATGGTGGCTTCAAACGCTCCACCTCCTACATTTTACAAGATGTAATTGTTCTGGCAGTAACTGGATCATCTTCACTACTACCACCTACGAATGCCTACCCCTCAGCCCAAAACACAGCTTTTCTTCTTTGTACAATTCCTCTTGTATTACTGACATATCCTTACAAAATGAGATCACAATTACCTTGTATGTGTGGAAAAAGAATTTTGGTGGGTTTAAGTTTTGCAAAACTTTTTTTTTTAAAACATTTTATTGGCACTGTTCTCTCAAAAACACCATTATGATGCAATTTAAGAACACAATACCTTAGAAAACTTTGGTTTTCCATCTTCATAGTGAATCTCCACATAATTGGAAGATAATAAGTCACTGTCAAAGGAAGGAAAAATCAAAATGAGAAAAATCTGAATACTCTTTCTACTACTATGGGTAGGTTTTGGGGGGGTGGGGGGTTGCTATAATTTTGAAACCATTTTTGTTTTCCCTGTACATTAGTTTAAAAAAAAAAATCAAGCAGTTTGTGTCCAGTAAACAGTTTGACAGTGCACTGGAAGTCACAGTGTGTTACAGAAGGGGGAATTTTATTCTGCAATCTAATCCCCTGTATTTTAGCTTTACAATTAGATTATCAGCCTTTTAAATATGCAAAAAAAAAATCCCATGGCTTTAGAACTTTGTTTGCTGACAGTAACTTACAAAACATGTTTAGTTTATTAGCGTTTTCAAATAAATTTTACATTTTATCGAAAAGTCAGAGTATATGTAAGGCTGAACAAATACATACACAGCTGTTTTGAAGACAAAAGTGTATACTCACTTTCACAACTGCAAATACTCAATTTTTTTCCCAAAGCAGTAATGTTCCTTAAAAAAGGCCAAAACAAAGCACATCATAAAACACCCTCCATAATACCCCTTTTCATATTTTCACGTTTTATTCTCAGATATCTTTCTCACTCTTATTCTTTCCTAACTCTGGCAAGACAAATTTCTGAAGTATAAAAATTTCCCATACTGTGTAATTTACAGTTCAGATTTCTTCTTCTTCTTCTTCTTTTTTTTTAACTAAGATTTTTTTAACTAAGCTAGCCTGTACATATCCTGCAATAATCTCAATGCCCCATTCACATCCCACCCCTTTATAACCAAGGCTGCAGCACAGCGCCCAGGGAGAGCAAAGCAGTTAAACATGCTAAATGGCCCTACCAAATATGCAAGATAAGCATTTTATTTAATGAGACCCAGAATTCTTAGCATTTTTAAAGTCTCTGATGTACCCTTTCAATTTAAAAAAAAAAAAAATCATTAAAGGGTCTGATAGCGGTACATATATCAAAACAAAAATATCGTTGCTACAAATAAAAGACATCATTATGGAAGTCTGGTCTGACAAGATAGCTCTGATGGGAATTCAGGACTAACAGCAACTTATGATAATGGGTATCTCAAACTCAGATTAGGCTATTAGCAGTCCTGATAACATGCTAACTCTGGGACTCATGGCTTATAAAATCAATTCTTCATGCCACATTTATCAGGCACTACACTCAGAGAGCATCCTGCAGAAGTCAGTTACCAGCGGTTCTCTTAAAAGTCCTTTTTCGTGGAACTGAGAGACCACACTATGGGCACTCTGTGCCTGCAAAACCAGTGCTAATAGCCCTGAATAACTATTGAAGTCTCATAATTTGTGTTAAACATCACTTTGAAGGCAGCATTTAATAGATATATTTTTAAAGCGCAGATTTAAAAATATATTCAATTGCATAAAATCATTTTAACTTTCTCTATTTGCATCAGAGTAAGTTAAAAACATTCTGCAGAAAATACAAATGCTGTATAAATAGTGTAAGCGCTTGACTACAATGCAAACAGTCATTTCTTCAGCATGGCCAGATTTGAAGCTTCTAAAAAGGCTTACATATACAAAACAAACTTTAAAGTGTTGATAATGTAATTTTATTCTTTGCATTTTTTACACTTGTTATCAAGCGTAAGGACTGCTGTTCTCTGTACTTAATGGGATGGTAGAGACAAGGCTGCAGAAAACTGACACGAGTAAGAAAATGGAAAACTCTGATTAGGATATAAGTATTTAAAAAAAAAATAAAATTGAGGATTGTTAACCACGGGAATTGTGCTCAACTTGATACAGCCTTGACCAGATTCGGATTTTTAGACACTTCTGCTTGAATTCACCGAGACTATTTGGTTTCCTCAAACCAATTCCAGGATCAGCATTTATCTACCTGTTTCCAAATCAAATCACACTTTCACACCCTCTTTTTTTCCCCTCTTCTAGTAACCTTGCACGACTGATCTCAGAACTGCTTTCTGTGCTTTTTTGCATCTCATAAGACTTGCAGTAGGTGATCCACACTGTGTGTACTGACTCACAACTGTAGTCTGATTACAGCATTTGTCTCAGATTTATCCCATTTCATGTGACACAAGAGCAGCTCAAAATTTCTTTAGTCCACCCGCTGAAGAATCTTTCCAGAGTTTAGTACTCTTTTTTGGGCTTTGGTTCAGCTTCTGTTGTAACACAGTTAGTTGCCTCATCTGCCAACCTTTTCCATTCTTTAGTTTATCATTACTTCCACTGCAAAGGAATTCCTGATTCAGGTAGTGTCCAAATAAAGTATCCCACATGATAGGATAACTAACAAGGCATGCTTATGATGAAAAACTCCTATATATATATTACAAGTACAAAGCAAGGAGGCAGCAGATAGCAAGTTTCCACTAGACACTCTCATCATTGACTTTCCAATATGTATTGGGTTTTCATGGCCAGGTTTTGGTAGTAGGGGGAGCTATAGGAGTGGCTTCTCTGAGAAGCTGCTAGAAGCTTGCCCTGTGTCCAACAGAACAGTGCCAGCTGGCTCCAAGATGGACCTTTGGGATCTACTGGATACAAGGCACATTAAATTCTCCATACCAAACAAATTCCCTGCAATGAAAATTAGTTAAGGCCTGCTGTTCATGATATACTTCCCATGCTGTAAGAAAAATGCACCTTTAATTTCTGAAGCACCCTTTTGCCAAATGTAACGTAGTATCCACCACCTAGAAGTTGGAGTAGAAGATCTTCTGTAAGACTTGCCTTTCACAAACCTGTTTCTCATGCTATGTTGGAACAGTTGGAACTAGATCACTAGTTTCTGATCATTATTGTGTTTTTAAGCTTGCCACACATAATCACCAAGGTTACTCAAGGGCATTGCTCTCTTAACATTTCCCTCAGGACAGCAAGAATTTTGAACATTCCATGGAAAAAAAAAAATCTGTCAGCTGCTCCTTAAACTGTATGCCGTTACCTTGGTAGGTACCTGATTTTTGTCAGGTACCTATTCTTTTTTCAAATATTTGCCTACACTAGGAAACGTCCTAAAGAACACCTTACTTGTAATCACTCAGAAATCCCTCAAGGTATACTGCTAATCTGAGAGAACATCGATCTTATTCAGGGAAAGAGGGGGGAATGGGAGCAGAACATATTTTTGCAGGCTTTTTCTAATACAGCTTTGCTAGTATACACAGCCAGTTGCTTCTATAATAAAGCTAATGTGAGTCCTGTTCTCTATATTCATATCAAAATCAGTACAAACACAGCTATAACTGTGCTTATAAATGGTTAGTATTGAAATGTGATATTGCAGAGAGCAGCCTAGGACCAAAAAATTCAGCAAAAATGTTCCACTACTACTGCAAAGGTAAAAAAGGCAGAATTTGGGTAAGGGAGTTCGTTCTACATTTTGCTACAGCTCCAAGAATAACAACAGCTGTAAAAATACATATAAAACTGCTACTGTAAATTTTCCCTACCAAAGCTTTTACCTGTTATTAACACTGACAAATAGGACAAAAGACATGAGAAATTATTTAAGGAAAAGAAAAAAATTAGAACTTAACCAAAATAACTTTCAAACATTTTTTCCTACTCAAAAGATATACGTAGAAGAGCATTGTAATTTCCACCAGGAGGTGTGATGGGATTCTTCATGAAAGCGGCATCAAAAAGAAAGGCCTAGAACACACTGATTAAGAGCTCATGTAGAAGTACAATCTCCTGAGGAATGAGGCACAGAACTCATGCATAAAGTAGGGATCTCCACATCACAAAATAACTTTTCTTCCTTTGTTATCATTTACAGAGTGGATAAATTAACCTCTGAAAGGCAGACCTTTCAGTTTTACAAAATATATTTTACACCTCACCTACTCTGGACTGTTCCGCCACCTTTGATCCCTTTTGAGCCATTTACATTTTGATTAGAGCAGAAATGCATCCAATACAGCAAATTTGTTTTTCAATATTATGAGCACCAGAAACGGTGCAGGATTTAACTAAAACAATCATCAGCCATGACCATGTCAGACAAAAGTATATTTACGTAGTGACACATTAGTACGATCCTTTACTGATGATGAACACATCAAATTACAACACGTTGAATAACTCGTGACAAAATAATATGTCTGCCATGTCCTTTTCTATAGTTTCTTCCACTCTGCCTTGTTTGTCTTAGATAATTGAACTTATTAAGCTGTCCTGCACCCCCAGCTCTTCTGAGTTACACTGAGAAATGCAAAATAAGCAGCAAAGGGACATGCTATTCCCAGTAGTTGCTGCCTCTGAAGACACAGGCCAGCTGTTAAAGCCAGCAGCAGATGCTTTCTGAAGAACTCACATCCACTTCCCTGGCACATAGTTTAGTGCTGACGTTTTCCTTAGCAGGAGAGCTGCAGAGCGAAAAGTGTCTTACCTCAGCTGACATCTAACTATCCTTATGAAGAGAACTGTTTTGGGTAGGTAAAAGCTATGAAATGACTAATAAGTATCTCATATACAAGTAACCAGGTTAGCTTCTAGGAACATAGTAGATGGCCTGCAGAAAATCAGAGTACAGCTGAATTATCCTTCTGACATACTTCTTAAATTATCTTTATACTAACCTATTACCAGGCAATATTTTATTATTTTTAAGTATTCTGAAATTTTTCAAGTTCAGTACCACTGTCTGAGCAACCTAGTTTAGTTGAATTATTTAAAAGAATGCCCATCAGATGTTTTTGTCCATTTGAGAGATATAGTTTAGTAGCATAAAAAACAAATAGACACCTTGCTGCAACATTTTGTTAGATCATCAAGGTAGTGCCATCTAATGCAATGGCCATCTACAGCCTTGTTTCCATTACCAGTTTCAATTATATTCACAAGCTTTGTTGAATTATCTGTTCTTATAGGAATTTATTAAGTTTCTAGTATGTGTTTACATTAATCTTTACTTGGCTCTTGTCTTTGAAGCTGCTCTGATAAGAGTGTCTCTAAGGAATGAATACACTGCAAATATTCGTTGTTATTT